TGTATTGTTTCAGCATCGTGGCAATGGAGCCTCCTGGAACATACTCCAAGAAAATGTTCAGGTACTGGTCGTCGGCCGAAGTGCCCAAGTACTGGACAATGTTGGGATGATGCATCCCCTGGAGAAGTTCAATTTCATGCTTGAGTGCGGTGACCATGCTATTTTTCCGTTTGTCGAACTCGGTGCCCTTAGTTGCTGACGGGATTTCCACTTGCTTCACCGCCATCAGTTCTCCGGTGATAGAGTGCAGAGCCAAGAACACGCTGCCAAACGATCCTTCACCGATCAGGGAACCCTTCATCCAATTCTTCGGGGCGAAATTGTTTCCAGTCAGGAAGTCATTGAGGCCGTCATCTTCTTCTTCCCCGTCGTCAGCCACAAGCACACTGAGCCGCTCATTGAATGAGCCTCCATCAGTAGCGGCCACGCTCGCGTTCTCATCCAGCAAACTTTGGCGAGAATTGCTGGGGTCGTCAGAGCCACTGTCGAATGAAACGTACGATTTGCGATTCGGCTCGATGGGAGATTCCTCTTGAAGCGGCTGAAGGGAACTCGATGCGATCGAGTCCCGATACGCAGTTTGGGGAAGACTAAACTTCGACACGGAGAGCGGCCTCGACGCCCGGGTAGGCTGTGCCCCGGGGTTAAGCCAAGTATCGGCAATACTGGGAATCGGGGGTGCGTCCCTCAAACTCGATGCGTAGCTTGTATTACTGACAACGCTCATCCGACTTGCTGCTCGACTCAACCGTTGGGATCTGCGCACGGACATCCGCATCGTCTTCTCGATGTCTTCGCGATGATGGCTGGGGAAATACGAGGTGATCTCATGGATGATCATCTCGCTAGGCGGTCGAGCACCGAAGAATGACCGCAGCTTGGACACGGGGTGACGCTCCGCGTTCAAGAGTTGTAGCTCTGGGTCGCTTGGGTTCTGGTGGTGACGAGTGGACACGGGCGACATGGGCTGCTTGATGTTGTGCCAGGATTCGCCGGTGAGTTGTTGGATCTTGAGCTGGTTACGCATGTTTGAGCTGTTCAAGGCGTTGAGGTGTGTTAACTGGCTTTCATCCATGGCAAGCTGGCACGCGCGACGAAGCTCATCGGTATCAGGTTCTCCGGCATGGATTTTCCGTAGAATGAGTCGACTTCGCTCGGATCTGTGCGATCCCTCGCATATCTCCATGAGTTCATGATCCCCGAGTCTTCGACAGTTAGACGGATTCGGCTCCAGGCCGTCCAAAACGTAGAAGCAATAGTTCCGATATTGGTGTTCAGGGAGCTGTAGTTTCTTCAGAACACAGAGGATAACCTCATCTGCAGTTTTGCAATGCTTAATGTTCAAGACCTTGGTCTGTCCCCCGGTGTAGATGACACGGATGACTGGCGAGTTTGTAGGCAGGGAACCCATTAAGCCGTCCAGACTCGGATTCTGTCGTAAATGCGAGGCACTCCTATGAATATGTCCTTCGCCGGGGGTTCCCGGATTGCGGCCGGAGGTCGAACCGCCCGACGACGGGTGGCTGAAATAGCCCTGACCCTGGTCTTTTCGACCGGCGTCCATCGGGCTGCCGGCATACCTTTGAGCTCGCAGTGGAGACCCTGGACGAGACGACGGTCTGCCAGACGAGTGAGCATGAAGACCAGTATCGGCGGTTCGAGATAATCGGCGATTGTTCAAGGTCTGTTGGCGAAGGGACGGGCGAGAGGAATCGTGGGTAGATGCGTAGGTAGATGCTTCCAGGGAAGCCAATTGATTCTGCGTCGCGTTAATGAATGTGCCAAGGGAAGGGGACAATCAAAGTACGCACCAGGTTTCGTTGCTTGCGATTCGCAACCGACTTGGTGCGAAGCTGTTTAATAGCCACGAAGATCCGAACTCGGTCGCCAATTTTCTTCACACCCATTTCTTGAAGAATCTTCTGGTCGCATTCGATCAGATTGTTGCCATTGAAGTTATTTGCTATAGCCTGTCAGCTCTCACCCATTGTATGCAATCGGCAGAACCGGTGCAGCCCTGGCGTACCTCTGAACAAAGGTTCGTATTGGCCGCAGTTTATGCTATGCAACCAGGTAACCACCTGTTTCTCGTCCCAGGACCTAGCGAAGTTGTTATTGGAACAGATCTCTCTCCGCAACGGTTCGCGCAGGACTCACCGAACAGCATCAAGACCGTCCTGTCCACCTGTAAACTCCGACTCCGTGGGGCTTGTATACAACGTTCCATCCTGGGTGTTGGAGAAGACGGCAGATTTCTGTGATCCGGTATGGTATGACGTTGTCGGGGTTTGAGTCGTCGGCACACCCAATGGGGTATACGAGGGTTTTGACGCCAGCATAGTTCGTCCGCCTTGTTTATTTTCTCAACAGTCCGAATGATAATCCAATCCTATAATCAAGTGGTCGCTTGCGCTTATTCAACGGCGACGGTAGTGGTTCGTTCGATGGGTATTGAAAATCGAGAACTCCCGACACAGATGCTAAATGGACTAATGCATGATCCGAGAGGGTGCTAATTTTCTAAATATCCATTAGCTCCATGATCTTCGGAGGGGCCATTTGTTTGCAGATGGACTTTAAATGGATGGGGTAAAGGGGGGCGATAAACAAGGCGAGGTGAGTGAGACAGAGACAAAAAGAAAGAAAAGGAATCTGAGCGAAGACTGAGAGAACAGCGAGAGGGCGAGACAAGAACGAGGTGGAATGAGGTCAGGGACCGAGAGCATACCGATCAACCGGTGCTGAACGCTGCAGCGTAGTAAAGGTGACGGCGATCAGGCACTTGCACTTGCAGTCCAGAGCCTCCGGGTTCCCTTGCGGATCCGATGCTCCCTCTTGTTCGGGGCCTTGATGGGGCTGAATCGGATGTTATCAGAGATAGCACATCCACCGGTGAGCACAATACCAGAGGCAAGGGAGGGAGGGAATAAGCAGGGTCGGCGCTTTCGGAGAGCGGATGAACAACGAAGGCAGCCTGGCGGATGGCGAGAGAAGGAGAGGAGAGAGAGAAGTATGGATTCGAGCGAAAGTAGACGATAGTTGAGGGATATCGACCCAAGAGGCAAAAAAGGAAGAAGAAAAAAAGAAACCACCCCCCCACGATAACCTCCAGGTCCAAGTCGAGTTGTCCGTGAGTTTCTCGCTATCTGGGCCGATCGGATGGAGACGATGGAAACGCGGATGATTTGTCAGGCACTTCGCATCTGAAACACGCGACTTCTTGGGCGGTGGATGCCCTCCGTTTGTTCCATGGTTCCCTCGCTTTCTTAGTTCCTACTTCGCTTATTCCACTTGCTCCTTCGTGAACAACAACTTTCCTAGCCGGAGTGTCTCCGACCTGAGTCTCTACTATACTCAGTACTCGACATTTAACACAGATAAAAAGAATATATGTCTCTTGGATCTTCACGTCCGGGGTGGATTGGCTGCGTTGGTGCTGGGTCACACCTTTTACACCTGACACCTCCATGGTCGGCCGGATATACAACCCATCTGAAACCGGCTGACGACGGCCGTCTCCATACTCAGATCATTGGCTGCCTATCTTGAGATCCGTTCGGGATTTTGCGTTGTTGGGGATTGACAAGTTGGCACAACCCTGTCATCTCCATCTCACACACGGAGTACGGGCGATATACGTGGTAGCCATAGCCATGAAGGTCGCCCGGCTGAGCTGGACCTATAGAACGACCGATGATGCGTGATCGGGCTCCCGTTAAGGCCGTTCAGTCTGCCTATCAGGACCGGCGAAAGCTAAAGATGCATATATAAATAGTAAACGACTCCGTATCCAGCAGAAAACCGGAGCTTGGACCAGTTTCCGAGGGGAGTGGATACGACTACTGACTTTGTCGTATCCATCTGTTCCGCTCTTTTCTGGATGTTTACCCAGGGCCAGTAGTACCCAGTTCCCACCGAAGTTGGACTCGGTAGGTCTCCCATGAGAATAGGGGAACGGGGGAATGGGGAAACAGGGAAACAGGGCCCGAGAGACTCTACGACATTCCTCCTGGCTCTTCCCGCGAGTCAATCTAGTCGAGATGTCTGACTTCATTGCCTTTATAGCGGGTTATTTGTAGTACTCAGGGACTACGGGTCGAAAGTCATGGGGGGAGTATGGGGAGTATTTATAGATGTATGAGAGTACAGCATCTGGGTAGGTATAAATGTATACAATTAGTGGAGGGAGAACTGTGGAATGACTTTGATTATATTTATAATATATTAACTAAGAACGAACCCCTCTCCGGCCACATCATGCGATGAGGAGAGAGAACTCCGCACTAACGACCGAGTACCTTACGGAGTACCTTACGGAGTAAAGAGGAAAAAGAAAGAAGAGCGGGAAGTGCAACCACGTGACCGCCCCTCGCAAGGGAAAAAAACCCCCTCATTTTGTCGGCGCCGAAAAACCCCACAGCGTTTCTTTTCCCCGCTCGTCTGCTCTCCCATTCCGCCCAGGACATGCTCCGATTCCTGAGCAATTCGCGATGGAGGACGAGAGAGCTGCCCCGGGAAAAGTGAGGAAAAAAGCCACTCCCGCTCACCGGAAGTCGCTGTCTTGTGAATACTGCAGCAGATCTTTCGCCCGCTTGGAACATCTCCAACGACATCTCCGCACCCGTTGAGTAACCCTGATGTCGGCCAGGTCGCCCGTTTTCGCCTGCGCTCTCCCCCTACCCTTCCCCCCTTTCCCCCAGTCTGCCCCCTCTTCCACCGGGCAAACGGTACTAACCGTGGACGACAGACACCAAGGAGAAACCGTTTTCATGTGACATCTGCTCCAAATCTTTCGCGAGGAGGTAAGTGGTTTTGCGCACCGTGATCTGGTCAGCCCGCACTAACATGGGGAAATCCTCTGCAGCGATCTGCTCGTACGACATGAGCGACTAGTTCATCCCGCAGAGGCGGCAGCCAATCGAGAACATCGCAGTCATGGCAATCCCGACGTGCCTCAAACCCCTTCGACCATAATCCCGCCCGCCCACCACGAATCGCGCATGTTAGAGCTGGCGGACGCCGTCCCGGTCCAGCCGCAGCCGGTAGCGCCCCCTCCGCCAGAGGTGCAGGTCCAACCACCCCCAATCGTGGAGACAACTCACTTCAATCCTTCTTGGGGATACGACCTGAACCTGTTGTCCCATGCCGCTAGCCATGTGGCCCTGGAGGGGCAGCAGGAAAGCCTGGAGTCCATGCGAAAGTCCTCCCAGAACGTAGGCCCGCAGCCGCTGCCCAGTGTGCCCGAACGAGCGATCACCGACAATTATGGCGTTGAACCTTCCATCCTGGATCTTACGGACCTAGGGGATCCCGTGCAAGACTTTTCGGTGTTTCTGGAAAGCGTCGGTCTTTCCTCCGATTGGGATTCCGGCGTATTTTCAACGGTAGAAGACCCCATGTTGACGAACCTTCCTATGGATTCGAAACCAACCGTCCGCGACAATGCAAGGCTCGGGCCCGATGTCATGGGCGATCCACGAGGCGCGGCCGACGAACCCCCTTCCTTCTCCAACTTTGGTTCTCGGCTACCGTCCCTGCAGCCGGAGCCCCATGATGTCGACGAGCGCCTCGGATTCGCCGATGATGGCCCTCGACCGGCCTGGGACATTACAAATGCGGACCGTCAAATGTTCATCACCAAGCTTGAGGAGTTCGCTTACATTCTCCCCAAGAACTTCGTTCCGCCGTCGAGGCACGCCTTGTCTCGCTTCTTTGCCGGTTACATTAATGGACTAAACGAGCATCTCCCTTTTATCCACGTCCCAACGCTCTCGGTGGCGAAGTGCTCCCCCGAGCTCACTCTGGCCCTAGCAGCAGCTGGGTCTCATTATCGTTTTGAAAACAGTCGGGGAATCGATCTTTTCCATGCCGCCAAGGCCATCCTCCTGGAGCGCCTTCACAGGCGGGATAGCAAGCAAGTGCAATACCCGACCTGGAATTTCCTATCTCCCTCATCTGGTTATCATGACTCTCGTGGATCATCCACCACATCTAATCATGCTAGCAGCCCTTTCCAGCAGCATCATATCGCACATCAGGTTGACCCTTCGGGTTATGCTCCTCAGGATTCTGAAGCCCATATGGAAGTAATCCGAACATTCCTGCTGCTCACGGTTTTTGCTTCTTGGGAGAGACACCCAGAACTCCTGCGAGAAATTCTTTCGCTGCAGAGCACTCTTGCGAGGCTCGTAAGGGAGCATGGACTGTCCGAGCCGCCCCCATACCCCGATCCGAACAACTGGGAAGAGTGGGTACGGAGAGAGGGGAACAGGCGAACGAAATTCATCGTTTACTGTTTCTTTAATCTCCACTCTATCATGTACAACATTCCTCCTCTGGTCTTGAATGCGGAGCTCAAACTGAACATGCCGTGTTCTCATGACGTCTGGAAAGCCAGCAACCCGTCTCAATGGCGACGGGTCATTCGCAGCCGCCATGGATCGGAAGTCTCCTTCCAGGAAGCCTTTGCCAAGTTATTCCTCAAATCCAGTATACCAAACTCCTCGGCACCGATCTCGCCGCTTGGGAACTATATTCTTATCCACGCTCTGATACAGCAAATCTTCTTTGCCCGACAGCTTTGTCTTTCGGCACCAACCATGCAAAGCACAAGTCTCAGGCAGGAGGACTTATCCGCGCTGGACAGCTCCTTGGGTGCTTGGAAGGCCTTGTGGAAGCGCACCCCGGAGTCCAGCATTGACCCTCAGAATCCGGCAGGCCCGATTGCCTTCACATCCACGGCGCTTCTAGGCCTTGCTTATATTAGATTACACGTCGATCTAGGGCCGTGTCGCCGTCTCATCACTCAGGACCCGGTCCAGATCGCACGGGCTCTAAGTGAATCTCCTCCAATTGCAAGAAGCCCTCGTCTGATTATGGCTTTGTTACATTCCGCCCACGCACTTTCGATCCCGGTGCGCCTTGGAATTGACTTCGTCGCAAGAACTCACTCTTTTTTCTGGAGTATCCAACATTCTCTTTGCAGTCTTGAATGCGCATTCCTTCTGAGCCGTTGGCTTCTGTCCATCCCGATGACACAATCCGAACAGAGACTATCGGAACATGAGAGGAAATTACTTTTATGGATCAAAAGTATGATGGATGAAACCGACATGGCCGTCGACCCCCCGGGCCCGCCTGACGTCGACTTCATGGCCAGTCCCTACAAGGCAAGACAGCTTAGTGTTGCTATTGTTCGTGTATGGGCAAGAACTTTCAAAGGGAATACAAGCTGGGCTATAGTCGACTTGGTCGGGTCGAGCCTGGATGCCTATGCCGGTCTTCTGGAGACTCAAATGTAAGGACGTCATGTTTGTGTCTCAGTCTTTGTTTCTCGAAATGCTGTGGCTCTGTCCATCATCTTGTCTTGAAACAGAAGGCTGCCGGTGGGCTTTTGTCGGATTGTTTGGTATTTCCGTGTCCTTTGTTCAAAGGACCATTTGACACGTTTTTGCTCCATATCAATATCATCGCACGGGACCGGAAACGATGGACTCGAGCGGTTCAAGCGAATCTCCCAGGATACTGGATGATATTGTTATATACCCATGTCCCCATTCTTTCTGTTCTTTTTTCCCCTGTATAAATTAGTGTGCAAGTTCTTTATGACGGAGGAGCGGGCTCAGATCTATGTCTTTTTCTTTGTGTCGTTCTCATTGTGGCTCTATATATGTTGTCTTTTTTTTTTTTTTTTTTTTTTTCTACGTTGGTACTCGGGGACAAGTTATGACGGGACGGGACAGAAAACTGGGCTGTTTTTTACTTAATACCTGCAGTATTGCCCAAATTTCTATTATGAGTTTTCATGCGTCTGGATTTGATGTCGATCCGATTTTTTTTTTTTTTTTTTTTCTTCCTTGCTTCTCACTTATTCTTGCTTCTGCTGGCTCCGAAGTGACCTCCATTGGGTCATTTCCAAACCCATCGCTGTCGATGGTTTTAGTTGAGCATTTAACGTACAATAAAATTACAGTTTTCTTTATCTTATACCTTTCTTGATATTCTCATGATACCCAGTCGCTAATCATGACTATTAGGGCTATATCTATTGTAAATCATCACATCATCTAATATCTATCTCGTATCCACCCCCTCCCTCTTAAGCCATGGGCCAATTTTTAGCTCTTCCTCTGAGTAACGCTCGGCGGTACAAATCGCAGGACGGACATAGAACGTTCCAGTTGAGATATGTCAGTATCCCCTTTCTTCCGAGGTGCTGAGTTTTGTGCAGACGTCTGTTTCGAGCAAGAGTCCACATCAGATATAGAAGTCTGTCGATATCTCAGCCTACCCTCTTGAGGCGAGGCAGGAGCATTCGTCATGCGATGCCTAGGATGGTTCGTTGACCGCAGTAATGAAGTCTGCTTATCGATGCCATCGTTCACAATGTAGAAATTGTACATCTGCCGATTATCGACGTCAGTCGCTGGCCCCTGTTCTGGAAGGACTGGGAGCTGATTACCTTGGGAAACATATGCTTGTCTATCAGGTGCATTCTTCGTTTTTGGGGGGTTGAGCATTTCTTTTCACAGTCCTCGATGAAGCACCCGTACTGCTCATGTCAAGTTGAGTTGAACTTCGATTAGCCCAGCCCTTTGCCACGGCATGCATGCCCAGCCAAAATCAAAGAGGGTTGAGTTCACTGTCTTACCGTCTTATCTCCTCGTTCTCGTTTCGTCGCAATCAGGGGATCGTGGTTCTCTTCAATGTGCAGGCTCAGGAAGTGGCCCGTGGGAAAGCTCTTCCCGCACTCTGCACATCGGTTGACATGTGTTTGCATGTAGTGGACCTCGTATTCTTCATAAGAGGAGAATGACAATGCGCCCCGGTGAGGTGGTAAGGAGCAATGCATCACGGCGGAGGCCGTGTTGGCCGGGTCCCCGAGGTGGATTTTGGTGCGTCCAAGGGAGGTGGTAGATGACGCTGGGGATGAAGATCTTGATCTAGGGTCCAGAGACGGACCAGCCGACGGACTTCTGGACGTGCTGCGCAAGCGTTTAGACATTTTGGCTTGTGGTTATTCCTGGTGTCGTTCAGAATAGTAGTGGAGATATATTTGTTGGGTAACAGTGAGGAGAGAGGTGAAAACGCGGTGAATATAAAATGAAGGGAACGATCTCTCCAGAATCTTTCTGGGTAAAACTGAGATGAGAAAGAAGTAATCAGAGTTCTTTATGATAGAGAATCCCCTTCCAGCCGACTAAGAGTATAGATGGGTGTAAGATGGAAGTAGATAATGAAATCCCCAACGACCGAATAGGTGTAAGATACGATACTGTACGGTCAGCGCAATACGGCAGCCAATACGGAGTACGGCACGGGTTCCTGTCACCAGCCACAGTCAGCCACAGTGTCCCGACGCCTTTTTCTTTTTTTCCCCGTGATATGCCCTTTTCTCTCGCAACGAGCGGCGGCCGCAACCCCTCGCCTGTTCGTCCTCGCTTGTCGGTCTCCATCCTGTGCTCGCCTTTCTCTCTATCCACCGTCATTGGCGAATCCTCTCGCCTCTCCTTCCGGATCCGCTCGCCATCTGCTCACTCGTTCTGTATATACTACTGATGGATCGTTCACTACTTTGGTCGCCCGCAGACTTCCAGCCAGCCATAACCATCTGACGGGCGAGGTCAACGGTGGAGTGACACGGCTTGGTCTCGTCGTCTCCTGAGCATGGCGTCCGCGTTTCAGAATACGTGGCAGTCAGTACCTTGTTCCCCTTGCATTCTCCGCGATGTGGACTTGCTCCTAAATCCCATGATGCAGGATTGCGCTCGATGCCGAAAGGGAGCTTCTAAAGAGCCTTGCCGAAAAAGAACCTACGTTTACCGGAATCTCGCATTCTCTTTCAGAGTCAGTTTCTTTCCCATGTTGCGCTACAGCCGCCGATTGATTTGCATGTCCTGAGATCTGATCTGACCATTTCCCCTCTTTCCGCTGTCACAGATTCCGGACCGCCTGCCAAAATGCCATCCTCCAGGATTTCGAGGCCGCTCGCTCCGTCGATGTTGAGTCCCATCTCTGGGATATGCATCTCAAGATCAACACCCGATTCCGTAAACTGCTCTCTCGCGTGAGTGCCACGAATCCCCGGCTTCCTGCTTTTCCTACCGTCACCGTCTAATCAATCCATTGGCCTATCTAGCTCCGCGACGAAACTGTGAAGAAGAAGAAACCGGTCGAGAGACGGAAACTTGAGAAACATTATCTCGAGTTCATCAAATCCAGCCAACGGTTTTATCGGGGGTATATCCAGCAATTGTCGTCGCATTTCGGCTGCATTCCCGAGCTTGGAAAAGTTGCGCGGAAATTCAATTTTGACAGTGAGCGATAACCATCCCCGTCCGTACCAGGGTCTTTATTGAGTCCGGGTGTGCTTCATCAGCAGATCCCCCCGTGGGGAAATCGACGCCCCAAGCGTCCGGAGACCTTCGAAGGCGTGTACTCTTATCTTGCCATGGGGCCCTCATCCATCTCGGCGACCTGTCGCGCTACCGCGAAACTGAATTGGTTAGCAAGGACCGGAATTGGGGACCTGCCATTGGCTACTATGACTTAGCTATGATTATCTACCCTGCCTCAGGCATGTCGCACAATCAGTTGGCCGTCATTGCTCTTGCCGATGGCAACCACCTGAGGGCAACTTACCATCTCTACAGGGCCCTGGCGGCGCAGGAGCCCCACCCGTCGGCTCGGAGCAATCTGGAGATCGAATTTCGGAAAGTCAAGTCTGCATGGACCAAACGGGAGCTGATTCGTCCGGAAGACGCTGGCATTCCTGGCCGAGCATTGGCCCCTTGGTTCGTGTATCTGCACGCCCAATGCTACAAAGGCACCGACTTTCCTGAACACGACGAGCTAGAAAGTGAGGTGCTCAACCAGCTCGCTGTCGACCTCAAAGAACGCTCGCTTGAGGGTACTTTGCAGAAATTCTGTCTTATCAACATCGCCGCGGAAGACTTTTCTAGGAAACGCTCAAATGGTAAGCCTCCTGACTTGAGCACTTATCAGAACTGTCATTGATCTCAAGATTCAGAAGAGTCCGTGTCAAATGCGCGCCTCTTCCTTCAGCGAACAAACGTGAAAACCTTCTTCACTTTGCTCCAAATCCTTTTGGCCGAAGTGGAACGATTTGCCGTCGAGGATCCTACCAACAAGGAAACGAGAACCGGTCCAGATAAAGTCACCGTCGTTGCGCGTCGTGTTCTGCCCGCTCTTCGGAACTACAGCTCTTGGCTTCTCACCGTCAACAATCTACTGGTGGCGCACAAGGAGGAGAAAGACACCCCTCTTGCCGTGCAGATAACAGAATTTTGGAAGATCTATGCGAACACCCTAACTCTCCTTGCATCGACTTTTGACGTGGTCCATCTCCCAGAGATCGACTACCTATTGGAGGAGGATGAAGAGACGCTGTGTTTTGCACCCCTCAGCGTGGAGGCTACGTCTCGCCGATACTTCGATACAAACGGCCAGCAGAAACCTCGAATGAACGACCCAGGGGTAGAGAGAAGCCACCCCAACATGGAAATGCTATATCGCATTCGTGAATTTGTGATTGATGGTCTAGACCTGGTTGTCAGCAATGTATGCACACCTCATCCTTTCCTCATTCTCGTGACTATGGTTGCTAATCCCTTTCCGGCTCAGAAAATCCCTGTGGCCCTGGTCGATGATGAAGACAAGAAGACTTTCATCTACAAAGAAGAGGATCTACCTTCTCAGTTCTTTGCGAGTCCTGCAGGCCATCACCATACACTTCCGTCCGCGAGCATCGGACGGGAAGACATTCAACAAGTGGCGCAAGACCCTCAACATGCCACAGATGGCCGGAGCACATTTGGCGGCTCTCAATCGGCGTCTGCGTCGATGTCCGCCAGTATGCATCGCATCGTTGAGGGGGTAGAACGATTGGTAGAATCAGACACGTATGAGAACGGCCCGACCTTGCCAGAGCCCCTGGCCTTCTCACAGAATGCAAGTCAGCAACAACGCTCGAGTCGTATGTTCGACCCTAGCACGGACTCGATCTTCCGCGAAGACAACTTCCCTCCACGCCAGACTCCCATTGCCCCTCCTGGACTCGGCCCACCGATGCCAACTGCTGCCGCCCTCGTCAGAGATCCGTCGTCGCAGTCCTACACTTCAAGACCCGCGCTTCCCGGAATCCCCAGCATCTGGAACACCGCCCTTTCGCCTGACCTCGCCGAGGCTTCGTCTCCTCGTACTCCACCGGGGCTCGGACAACGGCCGGCCCACATGATGCCGGGTAGCGTCGGTGCCCCCGGCCATCATCGCCAGCCATCTCAGGAGGTGATCGCCAACGAACTCCTGTTTCGCCAGAGTCTCCTGAATCAAAGCCCCTTGCAGAACCCCCTAAGCGGACCCGGTACCATGTCTCCTTGGACGGGTGCAACCAATCCCATATCACACCACCGTCTCTCGGGCCTCAACTGGGAAAGAGCACAGCTGGAAGCTGCGCATTCGCCCGTCTCGCTTGGTGTACCCAGTCAGCCGATTTCAAGTGGTCTAGCCAACGCCTCGTGGGCCAACGATGCATTCCTCGCCAGTAGCTTTTCGTCGGTTCCCGGCTACCCCAGCTCTGGATTCAGTGACAATCGCAAACCTTCCACCCAGTACGGCGCCATCGGCCAGACTCCCCCATGCGGACAAGGAGGGTGATTGATTTCTCCAACTCCAGTTTTCTCTTTCTCGCCCTCTCTCTGCCATTGGGCATGTGAACCAGGAGACCGGACACAAAAGGAACTCGGAAAGAAAGAACGCGGGAAGAAATAAGACCTCTCTGGAAGAGCCCTTGATGCGGTACATGCAACATCGAAAGGAAGTGCGGATCATGGCCTTGGTCATCCGATCCGCGAAGCTGGATAGGATTGGAGAGGGATGTCATTTCATTCTTTCCCTGCGTGGTTGTCATTATCAATTTAGGTAATTCAGACCGACACCGACAGACCGATTCTCCTAGATTGTTTTTTGCCTTTTCCGTCCTTCCAGACTTCCCACAGCACAGCCAGTTCTACATTCATTTATCACTATGATGGGCTTTGTTTGTTTGGTGGGAAACCAAGCAGACGGTCAGCTAGACAGCCTGCTAAGCAGCACGATCTTTCCGTTCTGTTCTAGGAGGCAGAAGTGGGGGAAACGAGCCAGACATCAGATTCGAACAACGATCGATTATTCTTCCTATCATTTTTTTTTAACGGCGCAAGGAAAGGAGGAAGGGCTCGTGGGATCTGACCCCAATTTGATGAAGATACTCAAGTCCTACCTACCTACTTACATCACTACAGTTTTGATTGATTCATGAAGTCAAGAAGAGAACACGTTCAACATGGTTTTTCTTGCTTTTTTTCAGTTTATTTTTCTTTATCATTTCTTTTTTTTATTCTTTGGTTTCTTTCCACTGATCAAAGATTGAGCAAATACCTTCCTGGTTATTGTATGTTTCATCCAAGGTGATTGATGGATTGGAGAAATTCTATCTATTACTTTGCACATTGCACGATAGCACTACGAAGTTTCAATGAAAAGAACCAAGTTTTATGGAAATAATGTCCTCAGATAATCCCCTCGAATCATAGATCACAATATGATAAATGTTCGAAGATCAATTGTATTGAAGTTGAAATATTTATAGAGAACCGAAAAGCCTGATCGTCATTTCGTTGTTGAGAACGTCATCTCTGCTCTGCTCTGCTGCTCCTGTCTATATCATGAAGCCGATTGGGAGCGCATCGTCACATGAAAATGTTAAGGAAAATTTAGTCTAGGACGTTAAGTCGAGGACCGGGTATAGGTTGAATTTTTGGAAACAAAGAAAACACAGAAGAAAAAGGTGATTGCTGCTGCGGGTTTCTATGGCCTCACGGGGTGGGTGATAAGGCTTTTAGGAAGGATGGAGGGTAATTTATGAGCGAGTGTAGGTCTGCTTGGGGAAGGGGAAGCTAAACATTGAAAAGTCAGTGGTCACTGCATCAGCACAGATCAAAAAGGGTGGACTTACGAAGGACCCAGCTCCTGGATGCTCAGACGTGCGAGCCACTGGCCCAGGTCCACGCTCTCGGCGAGAGACTTGCCCTGGACAACACCGGCAGAGAAACCACCGGCAAAAGCGTCACTGGAAGACACCGAACGTCAGCTAAAGGCCCAAAACAAATTAAGGCATGATCATAATTCACTTACCCGGCACCGTTGGTGTCGTTGATGCTCTCCTTGGCAATCTCGTGCACACTGAATTCCTTGACCTCGACCTCGCCGTTGGCCTTGGCGGTAGCAGTGACGGTGGGGAGAGTGCCCTGGGTCACGATGGCCGTTCTGGGACGGTTGGTGTTCTTCTTAGGCAGCTGAGCCAGCTTCTTGGCGATCTCAACCACATCCTCGGTACCCCACGAGTGGCTCTCAGCGTAAGCACGAGCCTCAGTCTCGTTGCAGAAAGTGTAGTCGGTGTAGGGAAGGACGGTGTCGAGCTGTTCCTTGAAGAACTGGGGAATGAAGGGGGCGGAAAGAGACAGCATGAAGATCTTGTTCTTGGCCGCGGCCTCTTCACCGAGAGCCTGGATGGCAGGAACAGACACGGTCAGGTGGTAACCGCCGACGTAGTAGACCTGGGCCTTCTCGACAAGGGACCAGATGTGAGGCTGCTGAAGATGCTCAATCTTGTACTCGTTGGCGGCAGCAAGGTGGGTGCACATGCTACGGTTGTGGCCGGTAATGATGACACCGCACTTGCCAGTGGGCTGGACATCATCGACACGGTACTCGGTGTGGACACCAGCCTTGGTGCAAGTCTCCTTGAGGATGTCGGCATACTTATCCTTGCCGACACAGCCAATGTAGAGAGTCGAGTTCTCGGGGAGAATGTACTGCAAACAAAGTTAACACCCAATGACACGGAGCAAAGACGAGTTCATGAATTACCTGGGCACCACGGGCAGTATTCTGAGCAGCACCACCGGCAATCAGCTTGGCGTCATGGTTCTGGAGCAATTCCTCGTAGAGACCCATGTGCTGGTCTTCGGCCAGGATGGCATCGTTGTCCTTCAGGCCATACTTCTGCAGGAGGGCGGCATCACTATTAAAAACAAGATCAATTCTCTGATTCTTGATGTTATGTGGTTTTCTAGATAGATTTATCATACCCAACAGCCTGGATATCTGCATCATGTCAAAAACCATGCATTAGCTGGAGGGATTCAGTATTCCACAGCGGCTAGAATTTACATACCAAGGAGGGGGTTCTCGAGACAGAGGAGGGGATATCCTTGGGGAGCAGCCATGATGAATGAGATTGAGTGCTTGAAAAGCGATAGATGGGAGGGGGAAAAGTAAAAATGAAGATAAAAAAGAGGGAGAGGGAGTGAGAGTGAGATTGAAGAAGAGAAGGAGGGGAAGGAGAAGTGGGGGGAGAAGGGAAAAAGAGGAGGGGGCAGAATGACTGCTGACATGACCGCCTTTGCTTTGCGTAGGGAGCAACGACGCCTCTCCAATCCGATCTACATCATACTACGAAAAGCGACTATCTCCCTCTCATTCTCGCCCTTCAGGACAAACACCTCCCCTTCCCGACTTCTCTCCCATCATGGTCAACCCCCTAGATCTCCCCGAGACCCTACAGTCCGCCTCCATCAACCCGGACCCTTCCCCGTCCCACGACCTCAATCCCTCAACCGCCGCCTCGGAAAAGGAGCCCGTGGCTGAGGTTGAGGAGACTCCCTCGGAGCCAGACAGCATCCCATCGGACATTGTCGACCCGCGTCGCTCCATCCAGCCTGTTTCGCGTCGTCACAACCTCCCCCCGTTGCCCGATCTCCGCTTCGAACAGAGCTACCTCGCCAGCATCCGCGACGCCGATACCTATGGCCGAGTGGCATGGATCACGGTTCGAGACCAGGTACCTATCTCCCCAATCCGTTGTCCCGCTAGAAATCCACCTACATATTCTCATCAAGCTCAAGACTAACACATCCCTGCTCCTCCGCACCAGGTCCTGCTCCCATTGATCCAAGGCACGGTCTGGACTCTCGCGCTTTCCGGCTGGCGGTTCTGGAACCGCAATGCCTCCCTCAGCGGACAGACCCTAGGCAGCCGAATCCGACGATGGTGGTATGAAACGAACAACTGGAAGCTCCCGTCCCTGGCTCTCCCATCATCAAAGGATCCTCATTTTGCGGCGCGAACGGAAGACGTAAGTTGCCCTGCATTCTAGCCTTCTAGCGTCCTTCCAGGAAAGACCGCCTCGCCTCTCCGGGGAGATTTCCCGCGGTGGTATGTGTGTAGGCATCGATACTAGAGCTGACACTTGCGGAGTTCTTACAGTTCTACACGGCGCAATTCGCAAATGCCGGTTCGGATTAGATTACCACTAGCCTTGACTACTGGAGGTCATGGTTCATGTTAGATTGTATTCAGGGTTTTGCATCTCGGAGTTATGGTCATAAGGCGTTGCCTACCTAAGCGCTTCACTGTCGTTTTTTTTTATCTGTTTGTCTTTTTTGTGCTGTCCGTGCGGCCGCTCTGTAGGCCGAAGCTGTCCGTCGGCATATTTTCAAAGACCGAATTGCTTCGGCAGACTTGGTCGTATCGATGATAGTAAATACAGTATACATAGCATTCTCGCATCTCTGCATGACTTGGTTGATTGATCCATTGTCCTGAGACTTGACATTCAAGCATGTCTACTAGATCTTCTAGGTAACAGTATATGGACAAGAACACCCCCGTTTTCATGTAGCAACCGCTTCGTGACATAAAGAGCGCTACAAGCTCAGCTCACTTGACTGAAGAGCAGGCGCACTTTTTCAATGCCCACTTAAAAAAGTTTTCCCAGTGACAAATAACGCCTGACAAGACTCCCCGTTTGACCTCAATTACATGAACATGAAAGGAAAGATAAAACACACGCTCCCCGCAAAGAACTCTATTAAGGATAGAAAACTCCCAGGGTCAGTTATAGATAACTAGACTCGAAGGCATGAATTATCAAGCGGCCTCGCCTGATTTAGAAAGGGTGACGGGCGGGTGAGTTGGCACGTCTGTGCCCGTTGTAGGCTGGGGAAGCTTTGGGGTTTCCTTCAGCTGCTCATCCCCGGTATTCTGCAGTTCGGCTTTCTGGTCAGGAGTCGCGCTGGGTGGTGCGACGGCCGACTGTTCGGCATCTGCTGCTGCCGGCGGTTCCTTGTTGGTATCTAGTCCATTAGATCCAGTTTGCTCTTGAGCCGGGGGCTGAGTGTTTGCCTCTGGCTTTTGCTTGCTCGGTAGTGGTTGAGCATCGCCGTCAGGACCACTAGGACTAGACGTTTTGCCTTTGGTGTATCTGAGCTGCACCACCAAGCTAGGGGGCTCTCCATTCACGACCGATTCATCTCCACTCACATCCTCCTCGTCGTCGCCTTCAAACTCATTCTCCTCCTCTTCCTCACCGCCCTGCCATTCATTTCCGCTAGAATTCGCCCCGTCGGATGCATCATCCATGTCCTCGTCCACATCGTACCCCTGGTGTCCGTTTCCTCGGGTTGAACGAGTCCTCTGGGCTCTGCCAGTGCCCTCCTCATCAGCAGCTGAGCCGCCCAGCAGCGTCTCGCCGTACATACCCCCCGCGCGAGACCGGATCTGCCTTCCACTCGCCGTATACCGAGGGCCAGCCGGCTCCGGGGGTGTGGAAACGCCCGAGGTGTTACGTGTAGAGCGTCGAGTCGATGGTAGGCCGTCAGAAAAGATGTCCTCGTCATCAGAGTATGTGTATTTCAGCTTCTTCCCCCGAGTGCGGCCTTCATATAAGGAGAATCCAGGCTCCGGCCGCGTGAACGCTGCCTTCCGGGCAATACGATAATCCCGGCGTTTACGTTTCTTGGATTCCGTAAGCAAAAATGGCAGATGAAAAGCCGAAATAGGAGACTCACCTCTTCCGCGCCCTCGAACCGAGGAATAGAGTTGTTGATCTTCTCACTGAGTTTCTTCGAGTTCGTGCTCCTCTCCTCATCGAGTTTATCCGCAATAGCCTTCAATTCCGGGATGCTTCCCGCCACACTCCACCACGTCACATGCTTCAAGGCCGGGTTGCTCTCGCGATACAATCGGAAATGGGTGTCATCAAGCCCTTCGATGAGCCAGTATCGACGTTTGAGGCCGTCGCGACCCCACGGCTGAACTGACAGGGGCTGGTTCAGGTCATCTTCGTGTCGCGCTTGTTTGTAGGATTCCTTAAGCTTGGCTTGAATAGCCTCGGACGAAGACAAGGACCAGAGGATGAGGGATTTCAGTAGTTGCAGCTAGGGTGCGGATGTTAGCATATAAGTTCGGGTATGGCCAATTTCCGAGCCACGTCACATACGCGTTCTTCTGGTGTCATCGCCGCGAAAGTGCGCCCCCCGGAGAGCGGGTTCTTTCCCTGCCAAGCCTTAGGCCACTGGGGCGCATGGGTCTGAATCGCTTCCTCCAGAGGTCGTTGGTAGTGGTTTCGACTGGGTTCGCAAGTACACATTAGTTAGGTTTCGATTTAAATGTAGATAGTGGCGATGCGAAGCTTCTAAGCAATAATTCTCCAACTGTTCGTCCCTGTAGGGCACGTTCTGAAGGCCCGTGGTGGGAGGGCAAGTCATACTCCACGTCTTTCTTTCGGTTCAACACCAGACCCAAAAATGCACATAATAGTCTCTCGATGTGATCTCCCGGCGGAAGCTCGCTGACTCCTCGCTCAATATCTTGTGGGCCGAAGTGTGGCGTGGATCGTGGGAAGGCCTCGTGGAAACGCGCGCGGAACATGACGATGAACTAGAGAGTTGCGACGGGTTAGCGATCGGGCTTCATAGCGGGTAAAACGCGTCGAATAGAGTATTTGAAGCTGAAACAAGTTCAGCCGATGTGCTCACTTACTGCAATATCGGGGTTATCTGCCAGAACGTATTCATGGGGTGGTGACGGTGCTCGTTTCGGCGGCGGAGATTCGGACTCCTTCTTGAAGTACTTCGTGATGCCCAGGGGCTCGTCGACGGCCATGGCGCCAGATTCTTCATCTGACGGAGGCGCCGATGAAAGCGACGAGAGCTCTGAGTCGGAAAGAGACATGTTGGACATGTTCGGGGGTGGTTGCGTGAAGAGGGTGTCACGGCAAGGGTAGAGGTGGGCAAGTGCGCGCCGCAAGAAGTTCTGTTGCGCTACTGCTTCCTGGGTGGGAGCGCGGCTTTTACGCGCGTGGCTTCTGGCATCGTCCATTGCAGCCCATATCAAGCTATGATCAGCACCCATTCACTACATGACATTCTTTGTGCTTGGGTTTTGGAGATTTTTCTACATTTAGACCTCTGCATCACGGTCTGAGGGGAGTTTCTGCCAAGTTGGGATTGGAAGTTCCTGATATGGTTGACTGACTCAATGATAAGAGATAGTATTGATTCCATGCATTTGAAAGAACGCGCATTAAACGAACAATGGAGAGATGGTAAATTGTGAGATATCATCTCTTCCGCTAGGTAGATAGAGCTTAGGTGGTCCTACGGAGTGAGGAAACACGGCAAATCGCGCAACGCGAAGGGATGCGTTGCAAGACAGGTAACGCGTCGCATGCAATGCGTGCATCGTGATTTTCTGGTTTCTGATTTCTGGTTTCTGGTTGCTGATTGACATCGGCCCAAAGACAGGATGACGAAGAGCATCAAGTCGGTCAACGGCGTTGTATACTTGCTCTAGCGACAAGAGCGAAGCCCTAATAGATAGACACCTTCCAGAACCCTTCTAGGCGTTGGCGAAGACACGGGATGGTCTTGCGGGGATATGACCGGTCTGGAAGGGCCATAGGACTTGTCTCATCGGCCAGCAATCTAGATACAATTGTTTAGTCCAAGTAGTCACCGCGGGAGTTGGTGTTAGAGATCACGTTACTGCCCAATCTGAGGCAACCTCTCTGACCTCTCAACCCTCGAATGTCCGTGTCATCGAGGCAAATTGACAGAATGCGCAAGAAACTAAGGTTTTGTTCATATGCTTGGGACGGGACTTCGAGGGGGAGATGATGGAGAAAACCGGTATTGGGCCATTGGCAGAGAACCCTAAGTCCTCAGGCTCGAACGTGGCGGTTCTGCCGGCGAGGGTGGAGCAAAGGGTTCAGACAAGAAGACCGAATGCACTATAAGTCATCACTCGGTAAGTCGGCCTCAGGCAGACGCGGTCAAACGCGAGGGCACGGATTACGTTAGCCGCGGCGCGCCAAAAAGAAAAATGCACAACCGCGGGACTCCATCCCAAAGGGGCGCTAGCGCCAACTCGGTTAGATTAGCGATTTCGCCCTAAAGCCCACACAGCCTTTCGCCGTCGAATTCTCATCACCAACCCGACAAGCCCATTCTTCCGATTTTGAGGTACGAGCTTTTGATAACTCCCACCACTAGGTCGCAGGCGGTCTCTTGTTGAATACTAACGTCCAGGTTCTTCATTACAGAAAGTCGCCATGGGTCGTGTGATCCGCAACCAGAGGAAGGGTCGTGGATCCATTTTCAGTGAGTGCGACCGCAATTCTTCGTGATCGAAATTCCAGGAGGCATCATTATCATGTCCTGCGAAGTTCAAAATCACAAGGAAAGAAAACAAGATTACTGACCGGTGCTATCTCCCGTTCAGCGGCCAACACCCGTCTCAACAAGGCCCCTGCCCAGTTCCGTACCCTCGACTACGCCGAGCGTCATGGATACACTCGTGGCGTTGTGAAGGAGATCATCCACGACCCCGGCCGTGGTGCTCCTCTCGCCAAGGTCCAGTTCCGTCACCCCTACAAGTTCAAGCAGATCACGGAGACCTTCATCGCCAACGAGGGCATGTACACCGGCCAGTTCATCTATGCCGGAAAGAACGCTGCCCTGACCGTCGGCAACGTCCTCCCCCTCGCTTCCGTTCCTGAGGGTACCGTCGTTACCAACGTCGAGGAGAAGTCTGGCGACCGTGGTGCTCTGGGCCGTACCTCCGGAAACTACGTTACCGTCATCGGCCACAACCCCGACGAGGGCAAGACCCGTGTCAAGCTTCCCAGTGGTGCCAAGAAGGTCATCAAGAACACCTCCCGCGGTATGGTCGGTATCGTTGCCGGTGGTGGTCGTACCGACAAGCCTTTGCTGAGTATGTGATCCGAATCTGCGGTCTCCATTTAAATGGGGACTGCGACTTTCTCGAAAACGAATTTGTTCGGTGCTAATTTGTTTTCTACAGAGGCTTCTCGTGCCAAGCACAAGTTCGCTGTCAAGCGCAACTCGTGGCCCAAGACTCGTGGTGTTGCCATGAACCCCGTGGATCACGTAAGAACTTCCCCTGAATCCTCTGATAATCCTCCAGACTCTGACAATGATCTCTACAGCCTCACGGTGGTGGTAACCACCAGCATATCGGTAAGGCCTCGACCATCTCCCGCTACGCCGCCCAGGGTCAAAAAGCCGGTCTTATTGCTGCCCGGAGAACTGGTCTGCTCCGCGGTACCCAGAAGACCAAGGACTAAACGGTTTATGGGGTGGAGTTCTTTTCTTTGTGACGGGTTGAAAATGCTCTTTTGCTATGAGACATATGTACTTAAGGCGACTGTGGACAGCCTCCCACGCGTCCTTAGCGAATTAAGGTTGTGGCCAAACAAATTTCATTGACGATTAATCAAAACGGAAGAATTGGTCGGCCTTTATGTCTTCGATGTTCAGCAACAAGTGGCAGATTCAAAAAGCAAACAAAAAGTGTGGGGTTTCTACATAATGAAATTTCTTTTGGTTCTATGTCCTTGCCTGTCGTCTTGTATCTGATGTTGGCATCGTGTACTCCGTATAATGTAGGCTGTTGGTACCCCCGTATGATCTTTGTTTGGTCTTTGATCTTGCGTTTTGCATTCTTTCATGTACCTTTTCAACTAGCCTACGATGGTGAATAAATTCCCCCGGAACTGGCATAACCTCTCCGTTGTCAGGCCGCCACCCTGATGAGACCTTAGGGAGTGGCCCATTAGTGTGCATTTGTATGGCTATTATAGTCTGAACTTGTAGATTTGGCGCTTGAAACATCAGAGGTCTTGACACATCAAGAGTATAGGAGGGTTCCTGACCCTGTACATGAACTCTAGATTACGTCGATGTTCTAGAAACCGGTTGTTGCACCTGCCTTTCCCCGCAAATATATATCCGCAGTCGAAGCGTGCCATTAGCCTTAGAAATCGTGAATGTTTCAGAGATTAGGTGCACCGCAGTGGTCATACAATGATGAATTGATTGAACAAATGAATGAACGGAGGTCCTGATCAATAAAGAATTGATCGATTAATTAAAGTAGGAAGAATCGAGGTCTTCAACTGAAAGGTGCCCCAGGAGGGGAAAGCAAGCGGTGAAATGCTTGGCAGCTTGCCTCAGGCACCAAACGCCTACGGAAACCGTGGTTGTTGCATGCACACATACCTGTTTCTACACTATTCAATTTGTGTCCAAGCAGATTTAGAAACAGGAAATATCCTTACGAGACCACTAGTCGACCTGAGAATGTGCGACGACATTGACCCCAAATTGACCAATCGGCGCCAGCCGAGGCTTGACTTAGAAATCAGTACCTTTTAACTAAGGTTATAGTGTGCATCTTTTTCTCTTTCCCTCCCCTCCCTTTCCTCTGACGTCTACAATGCAACTGGAATAGCAACTCCTTTCCTGAATACCAAGAGATTATATGTGATGCTTCAGCAAGGATCCCCCCGGAAGATACCACGCCTGAACCTGAACGCCACCACCGCCCCGTCAGCCACCGCACGCTGGCAAGCAGTAGTCAACCGGGACGCACACGCGACATCCTTCGTATACGCCGTTCTCACTACCAAGATCTACTGCCGACCGTCATGTCCAGCGCGCCTGGCCCGCCGAGCTAATGTCAGATTCTACGACACTCCCTCGGACGCAGAGCAGGCCGGCTTCCGGCCCTGTAAGCGCTGTACACCCCAGACCCTGCGGGCGGTTAATCCCCAGATACAATTGATCCGGCGGGCCTGTGAGACCATCGAGGCGCAGGTCCGGGATGGATCGAAACCCACGCTTCGAAAGCTGGCGGACGAGGCAAACCTCACCCCGAGTTATTTTCATCGGCTGTTCAAGAAGATCAAGGGCGTCACGCCGGGACAGTATGCGGCTGTCGTTCTGAGTCGGGGTGGTGGGGGGCCATTGGATGAGAACATGCCGGTTGGGAATCTGACGGCATTTCAATCCTGGGAGGTAGACGCCCGGTGCGATGCCTTCATACCCGACACTTTGGATGACGCTGTGGTCGCGAACGGTGGAGACGTGGACGTTGGGATATGGAATGATTTCGACGTTCTAATAGCCGCCGAGGCTCATTGGGAGGATGCACAGTGGGTTGGATGATAGTGGGATGGAAGAAGTTCTGGGCCTACGTCGCCGTGTTTGGGGACCAAAATATCTATGCCTATTGCCGCGAAGAACAATCGACCGGGCGAAGAATGAGCGGGGGCCGGGGATATCGTATCATCTTCTATTCTTGGGAACTACGGAACCCGAGGGCACAATGTATCAAACACACGGATCCACTCCGCAAGACCCCTGGCACTCCTGTCTCCTGAGTTCTGACTCCATACTCCGTACTACATTGGAGTATATCAGGGGAGCCTCGAGTTGAGACGGATCTCAACGCGTCGAAGTGGGCATTCAGGAGGTATCAAGTACAGTGCGATGCGATATCATATCTCATCAGGGGACCGAAAAAAAGGGGGCAGGAGGGTTGACCATCGGCACTGCCACGGACATGCCCCCAAAGCCAAGTTTTGATAGACTCTGATTGTTCAATGGCAGCGATCTATTGGCCGTTGACGTTGGCCTGGTATTACGTGGTATGGGCAGCATCGCAGTCTATCTGGCGTGCGATCGTCAGAGCTCCATCTGGCAGGATGATCGCCCGTCTAGACCGGAGAGTCTAATCGATGAATATACTCTGGAGTAGCCTGCGACATCGATGCATACTCCTACATACTGCATGCTGCAGACTTGATCCTAAAATACTTCATGCATACTGGATACTTGATACTACTAAGAATTCCGAGGTGAATCAAAGCCAGTGAATGCGAGCAGAGAATAAATTAAAAATAGCAGCGTGGCAAATCCCCCACTTTGACCGACCCACCAACGCGTGTCACTTTCATCCCGAGCCAACGATGCTTCGAAGAATCATCACCATCGATCGAGCGATGTTTCAGGTTGGCAAACTGATGCAGCGTCCATTGGTTGCTTTGTACCGTATTCGTACCATTGTCTAGACAATTGATCCGGAGGGTCTTGAAGTGGGATACCTAGGCAGAGGGAGTACGGAGGACACAGTACGTAGATTATGATGATGATAAAAAAAAATAGAATACCACCAGGTACGCCGTGGTAACCATACCCGGATTAAATGAGGTGGCGTTTTGGTCCTGCCTTGGTAGTAGTCCTTGACTAGGGACAAAGTAGTTCGTTGTACCTTAACACTTGGAGTGTGACTGCGGACAATCAGGGACTGGACCACCGATGGGGCCAGCTCTCATTAATCCCTGGCCATCCCACCTCCGTCGCATCTTCCCTCTTCTCTTCCCTCTGCTTTCCTTTCTCCCTTCCAGCCTCCCTTTCGGCCTTTCGTTTCTTGCCTTTTCTTTTCTCCCTCATCCCGATCTGAGAATCCGACACTCGCTTTCCCAACCTTTCTCCTTATTCTCCTTATCAGTGCTCCCCCCACCCGCTTTCAGTTGTTTACACTTTCCGCCGGCCGGATCCGTCCCTGAAATTCTATTCCTTACTATTTTTTATTTATTTTGATTTTGGGTAGCTTCGTGCTCGACATCACTACACAATGAACGTCAACAGAAAGTTTGATCGTTTCAAACAATGGGCTGGCGAGCGGATGGGCGGGGAGGTCAAAACCAATCAATCCGACGACTTCAAAGCCATGGAAACCGAGATGAATGTGCGCCATGATGGTAAGTCTTTCCAAACAATTAATCGCCATCCTCTTCAGTGACTGACATTCCTTTCCTCCTAGGAATTGATCGAATCCACAAATCCACCACCGCCTACATCAAAGCGGTCTCCAAACGCAGCGAGGGCGACGACAAAGAAAAGACCCTACCTATTGCCCACCTGGGTACCAGCATGGTCGGCCACGGAGAAGATTTCGATGCGAATTCCGAATACGGCCGTTCCCTGACCAGTAGGTGTTTCCTGCTTCGTTGCACGCCCGAAATAAATTGCTGGAATCTAACGAGCGTTTCCCAATAGTGCTTGGACGAGCAGAAGAACGTCTTGCCCGCGTCCAAGAGTCCTACATCTCCCAGACGACCTCGGGCTGGCTTGAGTCCCTGGAGCGGTCCTCGACGCAGATGAAAGACTACCAGGTAAACCAGGGTCCCACCGTGCTCCCTAGCAACCGATTGTCTGACCGTTGAAAATAGACTGCTCGCAAGAAGCTGGATGGCCGACGACTGGCCTACGACACCTCCCTCTCAAAAATGCAGAAAGTGAAGAAGGAGGATTTCCGAATGGAGGAGGAACTTCGAACGCAGAAGGTCAAATACGAGGAGGCCAACGAGGAGGTGCTCCGACGGATGCAGGATATCAAGGAATCGGAGCCCGAGAGCGTGTCCGATTTGGAGGCATTCTTGGAGGCCCAATTAGACTATCACGAGCGATGCAGAGAGGTGCTCCTCCAGCTCAAGAATGAATGGCCGGGAAGGTAAGAACAGCCCGTGGTCTCCGTTCAGTCGCGTGACACAATGCTGATATGGGAATAGATCTCCGCAGGCCCCCACCCCCAACGGCCGTCGCATTGGACGTGCTCGTTCCAACACTGCGCACTCGTTCCAGGACCGATACGAACCGCTTCAAGAGGAGCATCCTAACGGCGCGGATCCGCGTCCGATCATCCGCTCGAGCCGATCGCCTTCATCTCATTTTGTGGAGTCGAGAGAACCCTACGTGGCCGAGACGCCACCTCCGCCGCCTCAGCGACCCGTTCTGAACCGCATCTCGACCTTCGAAGGGCCTTCACAGCTGCGGCAGGATCATGCATCTGGCTCCCATCAATGGCCGGCGCGAACGGCTAGCGAGAATATGATCGGTCGCCGGAACAGCATCCAGACTCGACCTCCCCCCCGAGTGCCCACCGATCCTTATATCGATGCGTCCGGCGAGTTCCGCACCAGCAGCAACACGAGTCCTGAGAGGTCCTATTACGGACGATCCGAATCGCCTGCCTCGTCTTACGGAGGGGTGTCACGAAGAGCCAGTTCGAATGCCCTGAACGCTGCTGGCGGGCCCAAAAAGGGACCTCCCCCTCCTCCCCCTTCGCGGGCTAAGAAGCCGGCTCCTCCTCCGCCTCCCATGAAGAAATCCATGCTGAGTGCTGGGGACATGTAGGATATCTGTCTGGGCAGATTAATTTGCCGGGGTGAGGTTATCGGTTGTAGGAACTATTATCCACGGAGAGAGAGCGAAGGAACATAAAGAGGGAATAGTGGATAGTTGATCGTCTTCCTCATTGTAAATAAATAATAATTATGGGTTATCCTTGAGACTTGTACTCCGTATGCATACTATTACAATTCAACTGCCAAGATCGATGACAGCGACCCACTCCGACGAATTTCCTAAGCGTGCATGTCATGCTCGGGTAACTCTAGCATCTCCCATCTCCCATCTCCCAACTGGTATTTGCACGGTGGCTATAAGATTCATCATGTTAGAATCAACCCTCGAATTCAATTGCGACTTCCCCGCAACCTTGGCACTGCGATTTGTGGATCGTAAGCGTTCGATTCTCCGCAGTGAAGTAGCTAACTATACTACGCTGGTTCTATTGACTACATTTCATTCCCTCTTTCATGTTACCTTCGTTGCCCTTGGATTATTGTTCATTCTCTTGGCCCAACTAGGTGAACTGCTTCGCCCGCAATGAGAAAGTGACTCAAAGTCGCCACCTCCTGCGACACCTGTCGATTACGAAAGGGCAAATGCAACGGAGCTCGACCACGTGCGTGTAGCTACTTTGTACCTATGAGACCCCAGTGTTTGGCAAGACCTAGATGATGACTCTCTATCCCGAACGGTCTAGTGTGTGGTGTCTGCAGCAAAAGAAAAGACACGACATCTACCTGCTCCTACGCACGGGAGAATACTCACCAAGCCCGCATCGTCCGACGCGGCGAATCCACCGATGCAACTGCACCACACTTGCAGGTCAGAAGAGCAGATCCTAGTCCATTGCTCCGGGGAACCACGCTGACCCCTGCTCGTGAGGCATTGGCGGACCCTCGTCCAGATGTGCTCCGTCCGGTGCGTACCGTCGACGTCGTGCCTGGGACGCCGGAGTCCTGGAGCCCTTTCCCCGGGAGACATTATCGGGCTCTGCACAGGGAGGTATCTAGGGCTACGGTATCTGTCCAGAGCCCTCTAGGGTCCCCTTCTTCCAGCCCGTATCAACCTGGTACCCCGGCAGTGACAGACTCCATGACCGGGGTGGTCGGCGAGCCATCAGGAAGCCACGAGTTCTTTGGCAGCAGCAGCGCCGGCTCGTTCATGCGGCAGACGCAACGTGCCATCGACTCCCGGCTGGGGGTGGGTCAGGACAATACAGGGGTTGGCATCGATGGAGTCGCATCTGCAGACGGCCTCAGCGTCATACAGCGTCCGTTCTCGACCAGGCCCTCGATGGAGTATGTCCTTCCTCCGCGGAAAGTCGCAGACGAGCTGGCACACGCTTACTGGGAGCTCGTGTATCCGCTGTATCCCTTTCTCGACCGAAACTCCTTCCAGCGGTTCTATGAATCGATGTGGATGGGTTCTTCGGGGTCGGTCACGGATGAGGGCGTCCTGCTCTGTACGATGAATGTCATCTTTGCGCTGGGCACTCAGGTATCTGGGACGATTGAGCCCGAGCAGAGATGGGAGAAGGCATATATACCTACTTCCTAAGAGCCGATCATATCCGGGAACACGATCTGCGGGATACTGGGTCCGTTAGTCTGGTGTCGTGTTTGCTTCTGATGGGCATCTATCTGCAAAGTGCCAATATCCCGCAGAGATGCTGGATGGTGGTCGGACATGCTATTCGAATGGCTCAGAGCTTGGGTCTGCATCTCCCGGACTATAACGCCCCTGGTCAATCGCCGCGCGGAAAGGAAGTGGTTCGTCGGATCTGGCACGGGTGTATTCTCATGGACCGGTATGTTGGGAGAGGAAGCGTCGGTTCTTCTCCATCCCCTTCCCCCCTTTTTTCTTCTGGTAGTGATAATGATGATGATCCTAACATGTTCAGCGTTCTGGCCATAACCTTCGGCCGTCCAGCTTTGATCCCGAAATGGCTGTCCGCCGTGGTTCCGCTGCCCAGCATGATCGACGACGAGTCTCTGGATCTTCAAGTCGAGGGGTCCTCGATTCGACCGGACAACGAGCCTTGTATTATGGAGTTCTACGTGTCCCAGCTCAGACTGCACGACATCATGGACAACATCCTCCTCAAGCTCTACATGGACTACAACGGACGGCAACACCCCGACGACGTTGTCACCGTGTTCAAGCTTGACGAGGACCTCATGAACTGGACCCGCGGTCTGTCGGATGAACTCCAACTGGACGCGCCGTTGAAGCATCGAGAGTCTGTTCGTCACCGGTTGGCGGTTGTCAACCGAGTTCGGTATGTCTAGGTATCTGCCGTAAACTATCTAGACTACTAACTGACCTATCCGTGAATCAGCTTTTTCCACGCACGCATCTTGCTTCGGCCGATTCTGGCTCAGTTCTGCCTGTCCCATCACGCCGTCAAGCCGATCGAAAGTCTAGCCAGCCGAATGGACATCCAATGCTCGTGTCTCTGTCTTGAAACGGCCCATCGATCCATCGATCTGATCTACTCTCACCTGAACCAGGACACCGTATTTGGACCCGTGCCAGCCTGGTGGTATTCCGTGCTCTGTATGTCCCCTTCCCCTTCCCTATCTTGGTAGAAGACTAGACCTTTCTGACAGCCATCCCCCCTCCTGCAACTGTCCCCTATAGGCGTCTACACAGCCGCCACAGTCCTGCTGGCCGAGCGCATCCGCCCGGAAATCGGCACTACTATCGCGCAATACTCCAACGCCGTCTCCTGGCGCCGCGCCATTCAAATTCTCAAAGCGTACTCGCGCATCCGCACCTCCGCCAAGCGATGCGTCGCTGCGCTTGAGATCTTATCGGCTAAGATTCCTGGCGCCTCTCACTCTGCTGAGTTACCTCAGGCCGACGATGCTGATACCCCCGTGTGTGGTCCGGCCCCGGCAGCCTCGTTTTCGTTTCCTGATAGCGACTTGTTTAGTCGGGTTGATCTTGATGGCATCTTTTCGGATTTGGATGATATGGGTTGAATGCAAAGTGGACCGGAAGCGTGGTGTACGAGTATGAATTGATTGTTTGTATAGATTCTGCACCTCAGTAGTAGGAGTAGTAGATATGACAGTGACTAGGCAGTGTGAATCAATCACAACACTGAGACGTTACAGCAAAAAGATAGCCATGGATTGACACCTTATGAAGTAATCCCTAGCGAGAGACAAAGAGAAAGACAGCCCTTGAACTCACAATCAACCAACTCTACATAATCACCTTAAAGCTTCCTCCCCCAATAATCAAACGTCGCCCCAACCACCCTCTCCTGCAACAGATAATCCCTCGCAACGACCGCCAACTCCCCGGGCACAGGCACCAGCTCCCCCAGGACAGACGCACGCAACTGCAACCCAGCAGCCCGTTCCAAATACACCGAGAGATAGGTCGCCTCCTCCACACTCTTCCCAGCCGTCAACTGACCATGATTCACCAGGATAATCGCCTTTCGCTCCGGTCCCAACGCATCACGAACAATCACCCCCTCGTGATCGGCAATCGGTAAACCAGGCCATTCGGCTAAAAAGGCACAATTATCATAAACCGGCGTCATGTCCATTTGACACACAATCAGGGGTTGCCTTGCTGCAGCTAAAGCAGAAACATTCGGTGAATGCGTATGCACTATACTTTGTACATCTGGTCGAGCAGCATACACCCATAAATGGAATCTCGTGGCGGGGTTCGCCATTTCCGTTCCAGGCACCGTGTGGAGATCGGAGTCGACTTCGATGAAATCGTCGGGGGTGGCTTCGTGGAAACGGGGGAGGGGGGGGGGGGGGGGGGGATTCGTTTGGTGGGTTTGAGGTTGGGGTGGACATGGTTCAGTTGATTCTTTATTTTTGATTCTTTTGAGAGGATGGGCAGAAAGATCAAAGTGTTGATTTGGTGGTGTAGGTAGGTAGGTAGGTAGGTAGGTAGGTAGGATTGAATGTTTGATAAAACGAATGAAGACGAGATGAAATGAGATGAATGCAAAATTGTATAGGAGGTACTCCTCCAGACCGTGGGATCAAACTGAATTAAATTATCTTACTCCCTGCTTATACTACCTAAGATATGCCATCCTATACTACTCCGCATATTACTCCATTCGGATACTGGGCTGATTCGTCCGGCTTCCAACCCTCGGATGCTCATCTTATTGGCCTGGGATGTTCCCCAGACCGAGCGGGGAGTTTCCCAGAGGCTATGGGGACGTGGAATTCGGTTCCTTCTCGGTAAAGAGGAGGATCCTACTTTGGACTTGTCGAATGCGAGAAGGTGTCTTGAGAGAGACGAATAACTGGTATAGGTAGCTATGGACGGGTGGGTATAGGAAGAGTCGTAACGAGCAGTGAATGCTAATTGCTATTCTCTAACCCTCTAACTCCTGTAAGACCGTGGAACAACAGTGTGAAGTCCCCTATCTAAACCTACTCACCCCTCTGTAAATCTACTTATCCCTGTCCTTGGAATAGCTACTATTACCACAAAAAATTGAGCTTTCGCCATACCTTCTTAGGCACAACAGGAGACGGCTCTTCTTGATTCGCAATGTCAATCAACGACCGGATAGGTATCTCCAGCCGAATAAGCTTCGTTTTCTTCACCCACCTGTGCCCAACGTATAGCAGCAGCACGAATGGCGCGTTGGCGTACGCCGACACAAAAGTCCTCGTGTCCCACGAATTCTTCAGAAACGCCGGCCATCCCGAGGTCAGCAGGATCAGAGAGAAAAAGACAAGGCACAGCCATGCAAAGTACGGCTGGAAGGGCGCGCGGCAGGGGAGCTGCGTGCGCGGGATCCCCTGCCTGCGACACCCGTTGTAGAACCGCAGATAGGTCGGGGTGATGACGATCCAGTTCACCAGGATCGCGATGGACAGAAGATCCTGCAGCCAGGTGAAGACCTCCGCCGCGCCGCTCGACGTGGTCATGTACCCGAGGGCCATGAAGGCGGCAAACAGCAGCACCGCGACGTAGGGGATGCCGAAGCGGTTCAGCCGGAGGAAGATGCGCGGCGCGTGGCCGTACTTGGCCAGCCCGAACAGATATCGCACGTAGGTCATGAAGCCGGCGTTGCCTGAGGGCCAGGCCGACGTTACTACCACTGCGTTGATGAAGTGAGACACGCCCTGGATGCCCGCAAGGTTGGCTGCGATGACGAACGGGGAGGCCGCCGTGCCGGAGTCACCGAGGAGACGGTCGTTGTTCGACGGCACAAGCATGCCGATCTGGAAGATGGTGATCACGTAGAAGATGACGATCCGCCAGAACGTCTTTTTGGCTGCCTTGGGGATGGCCTCGCGCGCGTTTTTCGTCTCCGCCGCTGCCAGCGCCACGTTATCCACCCCCGAATACGCGTAGATGGCGTTGGTAAACGCGGACCAGAATCCTAGGAACCGCCCAAGAGATCCCTCGATGTCTAGGTACTGGACAAACGGGCCCGGATCTGGTGTCATGCTGTCAGAGAAGACGAACGGACAACGGGAGACAAAAAGAACGCTTACTATGCCAGTACTTAAAAGCCGATAGCCTCACCCTGAGGCGCACCGCCAGAGATAATGACAATAGCCATGATATTGACCATGAATATGGGGATAATCTTGAGGATGGCAAAGGTGAACTCGAGCTCGCCGTAGAAGCCGATAAAAAGACAGTTGCAAAGAGCCATCAACAGGCCAAACACTGTAATCCACTGAGGAGACATTAGGTTAGCGTTGCCCAAGCGTCAGGACACGAGAGGGAGTAAGGGAGCATACAATGGCACTGTTCAGATCAGTCCAGAACTGCATCAACACGGACGCAGCGACGATTTCCGTGGGAATGAAGACGAGCCCCTTATAAACGAGGTTCTAGCCATTGGCAAAAGATAGCGAAGGATCAACAAAGAGCTGGGCATAGCGGACAATGCCTCCAGAGATAGGGACCAAAGCGGCCATCTTGGCCATGCTGAACACCACTCCCGCGGCCAGGCACCCGGTCATGCTGAAGCTGAGCAGCGCCCCCAGAGGCCCCGAGAGGGCAAGCGCCCGACCAGACCCAAGGAAGAGGCTCGTGCCAATGGCACCCGCAAGGGCACTCATTTGAATATGGTGGCTCTTCAGCCCCTGCTTCATCTCCGACCTCTCGAAAAAGTCCACCGCGCCGTCGCCTTGCCCCGGATCGTCCTTGGACGTACCATTGGGGTCGGCAGCCTAGACATGGAGGACTTGGGGCTCTTCGCCCGCACGGGGGTCAAAATCTTTCGCGGGGAACATAGTGCCGTGGAGACAGTCAGACCTTGGATGTTATTGGGAAAGATTCCCAGGCAACGTGGGAAATTTCTGACCCTATATACCAAACCCCGGAGGGAATGGCTAGGGTTTAGAAAGCAGACCGCAACGTGTAGAAATGAAAACATGGGGAAGATCCGCCCTCTCAACCCTCCGGTCATGACAGCCAGACAAAGGAGGCGACTGGCTATGGAGTTCTGGGGGTAATTGGGTTAAAATTCATAGGGAGTTGGGGGAAGTGGACTATCCACGATGGATCGTGATGGCACAGCACACTGGGGAAGCTATAGCTCTCGGATCGATATCTCACTGGTCATCTCGGCGGATCCGGAGATCGGGATTCGAACACGATGAGTCCCCTCTTGCAGGACTGGAGTATTTAAACCAGATCTTTTCCGAGTTAGCAACTCTCCCATTGTGACTTTGACCCCGACCCCCGCAATCTACCGACGGAGAGGACTTCAATCGCGTAGCCCACTTTACCGAACATACCTTCTCCCTTTTTCATCAAGATGGGCTCGAATCAAGCAGACGACAATGAGGGTAAGTTCATCCTCACGAGGGAACTTCTCGACGAGGCTCTCCCCAAGTTCGCCATTGCCACCAAGGCAGTCCATGCCGACGACTTCTCTAGCACCCACAAGGCCATTGCCCCGAGTATGCACACCGCGGTCAACTTCCGGTATCACCGTGACCCGGATAGTCTGAAGTCGCATGAAAAAATTGATGTCGGCCATCCTTGCAAATAATTAATGGAGCGCCTGATGGGCGTCCAGAAGCTCACCCTCGAAGAGTTGGACTAGCTGGAGGTCGGTGACATTGTTCACATCGAGACGCCGCTGAACCCTACCGGCACGGCGCGCAACCTTGAGTACTACGCCGAGAAGGCACATGCCAGGGGCGCCTATCTGGTCGTCGACTCGACCTTCGCGCCTCCGCCCCTTCAAAGCCCTCTGAACCAGGGTGCGGACCTGGTCATGCATAGCGGAACGAAGTACATCGGCGGCCACCCCGATATGCTCTGCGGCCTCCTCGTGGTTCCGCAACATCGAGTGGACGAGGGCTGGGACGCAACGCTGATCGAAGACCGCCGTACCTACGGGTCCATCATGGGTAATATGGAGAGCTGGCTGGGACTGCGGTCGCTGCGCACCCTCGACCTGCGGGTCGAAAAGCAGTCTGCCACGGCCACGGAGCTCGTCAGCTGGCTCGGCACCGAGCTACAAAAGCCTGGCTCTGTCATTGCCAGAACCATTGAGAAAGTGGAGCACGCGTCGGTGCAGCACGAGGCTCTCAAGGACGGCTGGTTGCAGAAGCAGATGCCGGGCGGCTACGGACCCATCTTTTCCATCTGGACCAAGAAGGCCGAGGTCGCTCAGATACTTCCCAGTAGACTGTACGTTTTCCAGCACGCGACCAGCCTGGGGGGTGTGGAGAGCTTGATGGAATGGCGGGCCATGAGCGATGAGGGACGCGATCCCCGGGTTCTGGGGGTGAGCTGTGGCGTGGAGGATGTGGGGGATATGAAGGCGGATATTCAACAGGCGTTGGAGTCGATCCTTAGGGATTTTCCGTAGCTATCGATAGTCCAGTCCAGAAGATTAATGCTACGGAGCAGTATACTAACTACTCGCAGATTATTTCTCACTCAAGCCGCGCTAGTCCACATCTGCTTAGATCAATTTTGTTCCCTCATTCTGGGTCCTCGCTTGTGTGGCCTTGCACCTGCCTATTGTAGTTAGTTTATATGCCATCTGACCCACAGTGGATACGGATGAAGCTTTTTTCTTGCGAACTTTGAAATTTCATGAATTGAAAAAGAATTTCGTGAAACGAAATTCCCAAATCTTTTCTTTCAAATCCACTAGTAATAAGTATGATATGTAAATCCTACCATTGGGCCTCGGCCCGGAAAAGTTTTTGATCATAGTTCATACAATTCAAGCATTCTACACTTGCAGTTTCCTACCGTTGCTGTCAAATAATTGTAGAAGTTTTCTATGCCAGGGGAAGGCTGCCGAAGTGGTCAAGAATGATTGAATTGATTGAATAAAGGAATGACTGCTTGATTGAATGAATGACTTGATGATCAACTAACTAGGGATCAAGATATTCATTTTCACGTGATCTTTATAGCTAATATTAAGGAATCTCCGCTTCATTCATGGGATCCTCCGCTTCGTACAGTATTCTTCGGAACTTGCCTTTAGCGAAGGTTTGATGGATTGCCCGAAGCATCTAGATCTTCCACAATAATGACCTTGTGCAGTGCGCGGACTACACTCAAACGTGCAATCTGCTTGATCTTTCAGTATAGATGTATTAGCGGATGATCCGTTCTGATTAAGTCACGTGAGACCGACCGACTGTTTCCCTTTAATCACAGCACATGCCTCGTTTGGCTGAAATAAGGCACACCCCATCACTCATGATCATATAAGCTCGTCGCTGCTCATACTACCACACTCATGGAAAATAATAGCCCTCTAGATTATAAAGCACTATTTCTTAAGTCAGAAGAGGGGCGGCGACAAGCTGAAGCGCGACAGAGGCAGCTTGAAGACCGACAGAAAAAGACGACCTTGGTTGAATTCCTACGCCACTGCCACAACGTCTTATCGCGACCTTTGCGAATTGGGACACCTTCCAAATCAACCACAGGGGAAATCACTATCCCGAGAGGGAAGCACTATCCGGAACGATTAGAGCGATGAGTTGACTGTGCAGCCCAGCAGCAAGCCATTTACAACTCTGTGCGTCGCTACCTCCAGCCAGAACAAGATGCACCACGCCTTTTTCCGCCACGGATTGTGCTGGACGGGCTCAGCGAACACTTCAGGGGAGTTTTGGGCGCTGAATACGATATTCAGACCTATGAGCGACTTGCAGTGGAAGACCATACCTGTTACATCTTCTCGGAACTATGCAAAATTCCTGTCTCCCGAGAAGAGTTTGGGCTTAGGGATGGTGTTCTGTTCTCAAGCCATGCCAATGTCTTGAGCGAGACCGAAAACGTCGAAACAGATACTAAAGATACCCACCCCCGTGGCCAGCCGGATCAATTCTTTATCCATCGTGTTGATGACAAAACCACCACCCTTCTCACAACAGTCGAATACAAGCCTCTACACAAGCTTCCTTTGGGGGATATCCGCAGGGGTCTTCGTGATATGGACTTGTGGAAAGAGATGGTCTGGTCAAACAAGGTGCCAAATAACGAGACTGAGTCATTGGTCTATAACTCGCAGCGGCTTGTCTGCTCAGCCATTGTTCAGGAATACCACGTCATGATTCAAGAAGGACTGGAATATTCCTATGTGACTACTGGGATCGGCCTCATCTTTCTCTGAGTCCCATACGATAAGCCAAGCACCCTCTGATGGTACGAATTATGTGAGCCCTATTTCGGCCGCCAGCAGCTCGGAGTACCAGGCATCTTCATCTCCAGTCGAGTCGCCAACTTCACGGGCTCGCCGAGTACCCACAAGATCTCAAGGCGGCTGTGCACCATCAGACCTTGGAGGCCACACGGGCTCCCCGGACCCGTCAGGCTCCGACTCAGATCATTTACTAGCCAGACAAAAGCGAAACTTTAGTCAGGCTTTTAGTCACGTTGAAGTTTCACCTCCAGAACGACGTTCTCGCCAGAATGAACAGGACAATCAAAACATGTCACAACGACAAAATGCAAAGTTCTGTACACAGCGTTGTCTTCTAGGGCTACAAAATGGCACAGCTCTGGATGGTTCTTGCCCGAATTTTAAATTCCACCAGGAAAGCGGTGATGGGGTCCATCATCCCATCAATGCTACAGAGTTGGTGTCATGTCTTAAGCAGCAGATGGATGAGAATATTGACCGGTGCATCCCGTTTGGGAGGTGTGGGTCATATGGGGCCCCGTTCAAACTCACCTGTTTTCCTGATGGGTATACTGTTGTGGGAAAAGGGACGACATCCGGCCTCTGGAAGAAGGTGGTCTCTCATGAAGCTGAGATATATCATATTCTGCAAAAAGCGCAGGGGTCTGCTGTCCCTGTTTTCCTTGGCAAGATGGACCTAGCAAAGATCTATTTTTTGCACGGAGCTGGGCAGATTCGTCACATGCTCGTCATTGGTTAGGCTGGCGAGAGTACGGCAAAACTCGAGCAAACCGCAGAGCTTCGCAGGGAGATCAAACGATCGAACAAGGAAATCCGCACGTTGGGAGTGCGACACCTTGACCTCCGGCCTGACAATATTCTATGGAATACCGAGCTAGGACGGGCTTTGATAATTGACTTTCACCGGTCCGAGTTGGATAAACGGCCTGCTACAGACTGGCCGAGGTCACTGAAGAGGGCGTCTCATAGTAGGACCCAGATGCCCAAGGCTAAGCGAGCACGAGTGCTGTAAGTAGTAATTCGAAGGTTGAGAAAACAGTTTCTGAGACCATCATCAAAGATATGGTGTAGTGAACGCAACGTAGGATGTTAGTTAAGTGGGACTGAGTCAGCCAACCGGAAGGACCCGCCAAGACCCCCGTGCTAACGCTGAGTCAGCCACTCACGTGTCCTCACCAAAATCTTTCCCTTTCAACTTCTCTCGCCGCCTGCCCTTTGCCCTTCTCCCCTTCCCGTCAGTCACCGACAGGCTGAGCACAGCCAGTTTCCCCGACCAGCACGGAAACGTCGCGAAAGTCCCGTCCCCTCCATCTCCATCTCATCCATCCCATCCTTTCCACGCGCCGTTTCCAGCGCAACCCTCCGCTTGGGGCCCTTCCCACTTCCCTTCGCCTTCGCCTTCGCGTTGGCTCCCCTTCCCTTCCCTTCCCACCCACCCCCGTCTTTCTGTTTGCCGCCTACCGCCCTGTCTCGTTCTCCCCCCGACCCGGCTCAAAACATCACGAAACCTTTCGCCAAGGTCCAGATACAGGCCGCTATCTGTCGCATCCTTCGACATTAAACCTCCCCGTCCCCTTCACCTCCTTAATCTAGCGCGCTCTTGTCGCTTGAAAGGCGCGACCGGTCGTTCCTTGTCACCACCGTCACTTTTTTACGTGTTTCGCCTCGGCCAAAGTCGCGCTCTCCTGTCGCATTTTACCTCCACCCTCAGCGTGTTGGTCCTCTTTGCTTATGCTTCAAGCAACCACGCGCTAGAGAATGGCTTCCCTCCAGTCAGCACCCAACATGGCCGCTGGAAACATGAGTCTGCCGCCGAGCCTGACGCAGCAGCATATCCAAGAGGTTTTTCAGGTACGATTACCGGCGTCTATCCAATGCACCCTTCCACTCACGTTTCATCTTTGGAATTTTTTTATTTCTCATTGCTGTTTTTCTAAGAAAATTTATATCAATGCTCTTACTCTCTTACCTAATTCTTTCTTTTCCCTTCTCTCCTTCCCTTTCACGTCAGGCCTACCTATGATTTCCCTCTTGAACAACCTTTTTTTTTTTTTTTTTTTTTTTCACGTCCCTACAGGACCGCGTGTTGACCCTTATACCCTATAGAAATACAAACAGATGCAGGAGCAAGGTGTCCGTCATGACGACCCCGAATACCTCAAAGCCCATAATCTCCTTTCTGCCGTTCAGAGACAGCAAGTCTTTCACAAACAACGACAAATTGCACAGCAGCAACAGCTTCAAGCGCAGCAACGCCAGCAGCAGTTGAATGGCACGACTCCTGAATCTGCCGCTGCAAATGGTGTCAATGGTAAGATCATCACCCCTCTCTTTGTCGCGTATCAATCGGAACTCTGATCTAAACGCGTGTACTCGTAAAGGGCGAAGCAACTCCATCTCTTCCAGCATCGGCCCTGCCCAGGATGCCACCCCCACAGCTGCGAGTGGTCAGCAACAACCCCCGGGACAGGCCGCTCCCCAGAAAGGCGTTCCGGTTCCGGGTGGCGGTTTCACGGCCGAGCAACTTGCGACGCTGCGAAACCAGATCCTAGCTTTCAAGATGCTTTCCAAGAACCTTCCGTTACCAGCTCGTGTTCAACAGCAACTGTTCGTTGCCAAGAAGCAGCAAACACCTGCTCCACCCGATAATATCGCGGCTGCCGAAACGGTCTTGGAGGGTGTGAACCGCGACAAATCTGAGCAGCCCACAAGTGCCACGGATGACGCTCCTCAGACAAAAGACTTTTATGAAAGCTTCCAGTCGCCGTATGAATCGATTTCCAAAACAATCAGCTTCACCGATCACGCGTCTCGCATAAACCGCGCACGCATTCCTGCTCTGATGCCGCCTGGAGTCGACTTGGACCAGGTGCGCGAGGAGAGAGAGGTGATTCTGTACAACAAGATCAATGCGCGAAAAGCGGAGCTCGCCGAACTGCCTGCAAATGTTGGCGTGTGGAATTCTAGCCAAGGCGACACCGCGACTGGGGACGATTCCTTGAAGCTGAAAGCTCTGATCGAGTATAAAATGCTCAACTTGCTCCCGAAGCAAAGGCTCTTCCGCAAGCAGATTCAGAATGAAATGTTCCATTTTGATAATCTAGGCATGACTGCAAACCGCTCTAACCATCGCCGAATGAAGAAGCAGTCCCTTCGGGAAGCCCGAATCACCGAGAAACTAGAGAAGCAACAGCGTGATGCTCGCGAGACGCGGGAGAAGCGGAAGCAATACGATCAACTTCAGGCTATCCTTAACCACGGCCTGGAGCTTCAGAACGCTGCCAACCAGCAGCGTACCCGTATGCAGAAGTTGGGCCGCATGATGCTTCAGCATCACCAGCACATGGAGCGTGAGGAGCAGAAACGTGTCGAGCGTACTGCTAAGCAGCGTCTCCAGGCTCTTAAGGCCAACGATGAAGAGACATACATGAAACTTTTGGGACAAGCCAAGGATTCCCGTATTTCTCATCTCTTGAAGCAGACCGACAGCTTCCTTCACCAGCTTGCGGCGTCGGTTAGAGAGCAGCAACGCAGCCTTTCCGAACGGTATGGCGAGGATGACCAATTCTATGAAGAGGAGGAAGAAGAACTTGCAACAGCCTCTGGCAGTGACGAAGAAGGCGATGGAAGACGTAAGATCGACTACTACGCTGTGGCTCACCGTATCAAGGAGGAGATCACTCAGCAGCCGAACATCCTTGTGGGTGGCCAGCTCAAGGAGTACCAGATCAGAGGTTTGCAGTGGATGATCTCGCTGTACAACAACAACCTCAACGGTATCCTGGCCGATGAGATGGGTCTGGGTAAGACGATTCAGACCATCAGTTTGATCACCTACATAATCGAAAAGAAGAAGAACAATGGCCCGTTCCTGGTTATTGTGCCTCTCAGTACTCTCACCAACTGGAACCTGGAGTTCGAGAAGTGGGCCCCGGCTGTGTCAAGGATTGTCTACAAGGGTCCTCCGAATGCGCGTAAGCAGCAGCAGCAGGCCATCCGGTGGGGAAACTTCCAGGTTCTTCTCACCACCTACGAGTACATCATCAAGGATCGACCAATCCTGAGTAAGGTCAAGTGGACCCACATGATTGTCGATGAGGGTCACCGCATGAAAAACACCCAGTCCAAGCTGAGCAGTACTTTGTCGACGTACTACACCAGCCGGTACCGTCTTATCTTGACCGGTACCCCTCTGCAGAACAACCTTCCCGAACTGTGGGCGCTTCTGAACTTCGTTCTGCCGAACATTTTCAAATCGGTCAAGTCGTTTGATGAGTGGTTCAATACCCCCTTTGCCAACACCGGTGGCCAGGACCGCATGGAGTTGTCCGAAGAAGAACAGCTCCTGGTTATTCGTCGTCTGCACAAGGTTCTCCGTCCCTTCTTGCTCAGACGTCTCAAGAAGGATGTCGAAAAGGATCTGCCCGATAAGCAAGAGCGCGTCATCAAATGTCGCTTCTCTGCCTTGCAAGCCAAGCTGTACCGTCAACTTGTTACACACAACAAGATGGCTGTCAGTGATGGCAAGGGCGGTAAGACCGGAATGCGTGGTCTCAGTAACATGCTGATGCAGCTGCGGAAACTGTGCAACCATCCCTTTGTGTTCGAGCCCGTCGAGGATCAAATGAACCCAACTCGGGGGTCCAACGACCTTCTCTGGCGTACTGCCGGTAAATTCGAGCTGCTTGACCGTATTCTTCCCAAATTCCGGGCCACGGGTCACCGCGTCTTGATGTTCTTCCAGATGACTCAGATCATGAACATCATGGAAGATTTCTTGCGTCTTCGTGGGTTGAAATACCTTCGCTTGGACGGTTCCACCAAGTCCGACGATCGTTCCGACCTCTTGAAACTCTTCAACGCCCCCAATTCGGATTATTTCTGTTTCTTGCTTTCGACTCGTGCGGGTGGTTTGGGTCTCAACCTCCAGTCTGCTGACACTGTCATTATCTTTGATTCCGACTGGAATCCTCACCAGGATTTGCAAGCCCAGGACCGTGCTCACCGTATCGGTCAAAAGAATGAAGTGCGTATCTTGCGTTTGATCAGTTCTAACTCCGTGGAAGAAAAGATTCTTGAGCGCGCCCAGTTCAAGCTTGATATGGACGGCAAGGTCATCCAAGCCGGAAAATTCGACAACAAGTCCACCAACGAGGAACGAGACGCTCTATTGCGGACGCTTCTCGAAACTGCCGAGGCGGCCGATCAGATCGGCGAGCAGGAGGAGATGGATGACGACGACCTCAACGATATCATGGCTCGGTCTGACGACGAATTGATTGTTTTCCAGCGTCTAGATAAGGAACGGCCCTCGAAGGACCACTATGGTCCGGGGCATCCGCTCCCCCGTCTGATGTGTGAAAGCGAACTGCCGGACATCTATGTCGCGGAAGACAATCCAGTTACCGAGGAGGTCGAGGTCGATGTCGGTGGCCGGGGAGCTCGTGAGCGAAAGGTTACGAAATACGATGATGGTCTCACCGAAGAGCAATGGCTTATGGCCGTGGACGCCGACGATGATACCATCGAAGATGCTATTGCTAGAAAGGAGGCTAGGGTTGAACGCCGTCGCGTCAACAAGGAGAAGCGCGGAGGACGAAAGTCTGGGGGCCCTGAATCCTCGCCCGAGCCATCGCGGGAGAGCTCCGAGACGCCCCAGCCCAAGAAACGGCGTCGCGGTCCCGCACCCAAGCGCAAGGCGGAGGAGGTCGTGGAAGAAACGCCGCAGCCGAAGCGTAAGAGGGGCCGGCAGGCCAAGCCCATCGAAACATTGAGCCCGGAGGACCGTGCTATCCTCAACCGGATAGTCAACCACGTTTATCAAACCCTGATGGACATGGAGCAAGAGCTACCAGCGGATTCTTCGGATAGCGAGGATGGCCCTGTTACTCGATCCATCATCGAACCTTTCATGAAACCGCCGCCCAAGTCGCAATATCCAGACTACTACATGATCATCCAAAATCCTATCGCCATGGAAATGATTCGGAAGAAGATCAATCGGGACGAGTATCAGAACCTGCGGGATTTCCGGAACGACATCCATCTTCTCTGCCAGAATGCTCGGACGTACAATGAAGACGGCAGCATCCTCTTCCAGGATGCCAATGACATTGAGGTAAAGTCAATCCCAGCCCCGGTAATTACTACATAGACCAGTCACTGATTGCGAGCAGGCTAAATGCGTTTCCGAGCTGAGAAAGGAGACCGAAGGTCACCCGCAGTTTGCTAATTTCGACGACTCGGGTTCGCCGGTTGGTAATGATCAGTTTAACGCGGCCGTGTCCGGGGGCGAGACCCCGAGTGCAGCGACTCCCGGACCGCCCAAGTTGAAACTCACGTTCAACAGTAGCAACCGAGACAGCGCTGGGGCTGCCAACGGAACTCCTGGCCCTGGAACGAACGACGACGAGTAACGCAACCTCTTATTCATTTGTGAAAACACGACGGCTCCATTGTTTTCTTTTTTCTCTTTTTTTTTTTTTTTTTTTTCCTTGTGTGTTTATCTGGAGCCAGGTACACTTTATTTTCTTTCTAAACCTCATGTTTTACTGTCCCGATCTTTCTTGACGTGTACTCCCCCGATTTTATTGATCTCTTTCCTATTTGTTTCTACTTTGGTGGATTGGCGTTTGTATGAATTGGTGGTTGGCGGTGGATGATGGCTGATGGCGCATTGCTCTGTTCTACCAGACGAGCGAATTGCCTTTACTTCCTTTTCTTTTGAGCCTCTCTGTGTGTTTATGTATCTCCCTCTGTCTCCTCCCCTCCAGTCCTGTCTCTCTCCTTCACGCGGTGCGCATGGTCTCTTTGATTGCAAAGATGCCGCGCAGTTGGGGCTGGGGAAGACGACGAGATTGACTGTAATTGATTGGATTTTTCTACACTGCTTCCCTTGTGTCTGGGCGCACATTTCTATCGAGTCCGTTGTTCGTCTGCATAATACAGGATCTGTTGGCTGGGAGGGTGTGATGGCAGCCAGGCAGAAGAAATTCGACTACTCATACATAGTTAGATGATGGCGAATGATGATCATAATTTAACCCTGCGAAGTGATGCATCTCTTAGGATCTACGTCTGGCGGAGCAGTCAGATTGACCGACTGCCAGGCACAGACAGGTTTCGTAGCTACTACCTTAGATAGGTACTGGATACCTCAGATACTTCCAGATACCTGCAGATACCTGCACCGGAGGAAATGCACAAAGTTACTGTCTGATTGCGAATCGGTGACAGGACCGTACCAGAGTTGATCGGTATTTCACGTAATACCTGATGATTACCCAGGTACCCTGTATGTATGGTACCTACTCTACTAGGTGTAGGTAGGTACCTGGTATGTGCACAGATACTAGATAGCGATGGAAGCTATTACCAATTTTCCCATCTCGGAGGAGACTGAATGTCAACGAAACCAGGGAGGCCCCGATTTAGATAACCTAGGTAGTCAGTATGACCAGCAACAATGGACGACCCAGTGATGGAATGTGTCGTAAGCGCCCGGCTTTGTTCCATACGTCACCGGTTTCGCTCGACGTCATGACCGACCACGTGACCATCCGCCGGCGTCGCTCTGAATCTCAGCTTTGGTTTAAGTTCCCATTCATCCCAGTCCCCCTTCCGTCCACCATCCACCCTCTTCTCTTGCCTACCCACCCCCCAAACATTCCGTTTATCTCTCCATCTTGCTTCGCTAGCAATTCCTCAACTCCACATCAACAATGGCTTCTTTCCAGGATCGTGCTCAGCACGCCATAGCTCAGCTTGACAAGGAGGTAAGTTTTTGTGTGTGCGTGATTTTTTCTTACGAACCAGGCCCCAAGATACCGGTCATTCTGGGGGATCGAATGAACGGGGAATCCCTACCCCAAGAACATCTTGAGGGATGATTCTAGCATCATAATTCGATTTCCTAGATCAAGGGATCTCTGGAAGTGGTTTTCGTGTTTTTTTCTCTATTTGTTTTGCTGGGGAAAATGCTCTTAGCAAAGCGCTTACAGTCATGTTTTTTTTTTTATCGTCTAGCTGTCCAAGTACCCCGTCCTCAACAACCTGGAGCGTCAGACCTCCGTCCCTAAGGTCTATGTGATCCTCGGCCTGGTCGGCATCTACTTCTTCCTCGTTTTCTTCAACATCGCCGGCGAGTTCCTGGTCAACCTGGCCGGTTTCATCATCCCTGCCTACTACTCTTTGAACGCTCTGTTCACCGCCGGAACTGCGGATGACACGCAGGTGAGTTTTCCCCTTAGAAAAAAAACCCCCCTTTTCTATCGTTCCGATGACTCGGGTGTGTGATTGATTATGGGATGCTGACTGGTCTGGTTTTCGTTACAGTGGTTGACGGTATGTTCCTCGTGATCTCGCCCTTCTTATCTGGCCCTTTGGCGATCTGGGCGCTTCGGCTGGCTTAGCTCCCTTTCCTGCCCCGAGCACGTGATGCCTTGCCGACCCGGGATTCCCAGCCAAGAAAGTCCTGATGTTCTGACATGTGAATTTTGAATAGTACTGGGTTGTCTACGCCCTCTTCACCGTCGTTGAGAGTGCTATCAGCGCGCCCTACTGGTTCCGTAAGTGTTCTAAACGCGAGTTCCCAAAAGAGTAATGATCATTTCAACTAATGCCGACCTTCTATCAGCCTTCTACTACATCTTCAAGTTCGCCCTGGTCCTCTGGATGGCTCTTCCCCAGACCAAGTAAGCCGCTCCTGTTGCTACAGTGGCTGAACGTTCTTGCTAACTAGTTGTCTTTCTCTCCTGCAGCGGTGCCCAGGTCGTCTTCCACTCTTTCCTCCAGCCTGTGCTGGGCCGCTTCTTCAACGCTGGCAACACCTCCGCCAACCTTCGGGCTCAGGCGGCCGATGCCACCAAGACCCAGTAAATATGTTGATCTGCTGTTAATACATGGTTTCGGCGGCGGGCTTGTCTGCCGCCGACCCATGAGCTAAACTAGGTCATTCTGTTTCTGGTCAAAAAGACGACTTCACGAAGCTATGGAACTTCGTTGATGCCAGCGGACGGATGTGAAGATTTTGTGGTCAAACTGAGCGATTTTGGAACCATTTGCTTATTTGGTTTTTCTTTTCCCTCTATTTCGTGTTTTGTCATGATTGGTTCAGTAGAATTGTATGTGATGTGTGGAGGAGGGGATGAATGATTAAAGAACACGACCCAGCGGTTGCTGTTCTGCGGAGATTTTGTGGGTATAGCTGTATCTGATGCAATGATGCCTCTTGGTAATTGAAGCACATTTGATAGCGTTTCCACCTGGTTCTTTTCTTCTCTTTCTTTCTTGGTCCTCTTTTTCCGCCTTTCATGGATGGGTTCCGTAACACAGATAAAGAGGATCGACTCGGAGACCCTCATATAATCCTATGACAGGATAATAATAATAAGGTACCCGGAAGCACAGGCCACGACAAGCTTTAGCTTTCCGAGAAGCGGGGTGGGAAAGTGAACGGACGGATCAACAAGACGGGGGGGAAACGACGACGGCCCCAGGCCTTCTGGAACAACATATGCGAGATAGACCGAAGAAAAGGCACGCACTCGAATGTAGCGGTGATGCCCAAGCAAGCCCCAGTCATTCACTCGATATAAATAATTAGTCCCCATGAATCAGTAGAGACCAAACCGATTCTGCCAGCCATCCGTCCGAGGGTTCAGCACGATGCGGTAGGGGAAGGGGTTCGCGTCACTGGTGGTGATGGGCGGAATATGATCCTTATCCCGGTTCACGACGGTGAGGATCTTCAGCGCGGCTTTCTGGAGCATGTTCTCCATTGCCTTGCGTACCTTGGCGCGTTCTGCATGCGTTGGCGCGTTAGTTCGAGGGTCCGTGTATGCAATTATTCGTCCATTCACAATCCAGGGAATGAGACTGGAGGATATGATGACCCTATTTGGATGTTGATATATTCGGAGTCGTGGGACCTACCTGATTCTGTCCGCGGAGTGGCGATCGTCACGTCCAGGTTCCACACTTCCCAACATACCTCTTCCTCGCCTTTTCCTGCTAGTCCGCTGAACCAGATCCCCGAGCGTCGACGCTTCTTCTCGTAGAACTCGACGGCGATACGGCCGCGTACTCCTCCATTACCGCCACCGTCATGCGAGCTGGTCGTAGAAGACGAGTGTTGACGCACTAAGGAGCTGATCCGGGAGTCGATCAGGGTCTCGAGGTCGACGTCGTTGATGGCGGGGAGGGTGAAGTCTAGGACGTCGAAAGTAGTCGGTCGGATGGAGGGGAAGTAGCGGTGGAAGAAGATCAGGTTCAAGACACCTTTGGCGTTTTTCAAGGGATTGTTTGTTAGTCACTGTTTCAATCGAGGGGCAAAATCGAGTCAAACTACGTCACGGGCGGAAGCAAGTACAAAGGGGGGCAGAAGAAAGAAATAAATGACGAGGAACTGCCAACTGCCAGCGGCAAATAGAGAGTTTGGGGAAATGGGTATAACAATAAAAATATATATACCTTTTAGCACGTCTCGGACAGTGGTGGTATCCGCAAAGATCTCCAGAAAGTACTCCGGAGGGGTTCTGCGGGGCTCCATGGTGACGGAGTAGCGGTTTGTTCAAGCAGGATGAATCACGGCGAGAATCCCAGACGTTCTATAAGTCCAGCTTTCGATGTTGATATTGTAGGTGGATTGAAAAAAGAATCTTTGGCCAACGGACCTAGTCGACTGAGAAAGAAGAGAAAAGACCCCTGAGGATGTTCAGGGGAGGGGGAAGGAGGTATGAGGCTGTGGGGGTCCTTGGAAATGGATGGGGGGGAGGGGAATATACTCCGGAAATGGGCGATGTCGGCTGGCTGGCTTAGAGGCTAGATGGTCGTCATCGGAAGAGTAACCATGAAGTCCGTCATGGAGGAGGATGCATGATTTCTGGGAAGAAGCTGAGGTGATCTCTCGTAATCTTTCTCTGGTGGGGAGACAAGCAGATAGAAAGGAAGGAACTAGGAAGGCGGAAGAGAAAGTCAGTTGATCGGGAGCCCCTCGCAAGAGTCACCCGTCTCGTATCGGTACCGTTCTGTATGTATCCATGGATAGTATGGATGTATTATGCATACACATGATGTAGAGAGGTACAGTACATTTGTACCCTCACGTACCACGATGTACCTGGGCCTCCCTGGAGATCCTCTGATCGAAAGATATGCACGGAGAGACTGGACGAGTTGTAAAACCACAAATTAAACCTCACCGAATACCCTCATCGGCCCCTGCCATCACCAGGGTTGGATGACGATCCTCATTCACGTTGGCCGCTGCTCTCCAGTTTAGCCGAGGCCGCTTCAGCTCTCCATCATTCCCCGACCGTGACCTGTCGTTTCTACTCTTCGCGAGCGGCCAACCCTCCATTTCCTCTCTTCGTTGGTTTTTATCTCCTAGATCATCTTTCTCCTTTCTGACCGTCTATCAAGAACCGTATAATGACCCTCGCGCCCGCCTCGCCCTCTCGGAAGATTATCACCTGATCCCCTTCCTGCTCCACCATGATCGGTGCTACGAGGCGCTGGTTCCGGCGCAATCGCAAGGGCCTTGCGATCGGGGCTGGCGTGATTGGAGCCGGGTACCTCGTGGGACAATATGTGTTGAACAAGATCTCCGAAGCGCGAGAGCGTATGAGCAATGATCGAATTGCCCGAGAGAAGTCAGTCGCTTCCTTCTTTCGCTCGTCTTTTCCTGGGCCTTGTTCGCCGTGTTTGGACGACCAACGCTGACTTTGATCCATCCAGTCTACGACGGCGCTTCGAACAGAATCAGACCGATTGTACCTACACCATCCTCGCCCTCTTGCCGACCGCCGCCGAGGACATCCTAGAGGCTCTCCCCGTGGAGGATCTGACCAAGGAGCTACAGAAGAAACGCGCGGAGAGGCTGGCTCGCCTCAACGGTGGCGAAGGGACCTCGTCCGATCTCAGCTCGGTGGCTCCCAGTCTGCCCGAGGAGGATGGACGCAGCCTATCCAGTTTTCAGAGTGACGGCTTCCTCCGCACCAGTCAACTGGGGGAGTCAACCGTCGAGGGCGACGGTTCGCCGCGGCCGAAGCGGAATAAGACCCAGCTTTGGAACGAGGTGAAGATCACCTGTATGTGATTTCCCCAGCCCGTTCCTCATTGGGCTCCCTGATACTCATGAACGTACCGCAGCTATCACTAGGTCCTTCACTCTCATCTACACTTTGTCCCTCCTGACCGTCTTCACCCGAATTCAACTCAACCTTCTCGGCCGCCGGAACTACCTCTCCAGCGTGATCTCTTTGGCAAACCCCGCGAGCACGTCGACGATTCGACTGGAAAACCATGACGACGACGACCTGACTCAAACCTTGGGGAATGATTTCGAAACCAACCGGCGGTATCTCGCCTTCAGCTGGTGGCTCCTGCACCGAGGTTGGAAGGACCTGATGAGCGAGGTGCAAGAGGCCGTCAAGGAGGTATTCGGCTCGCTGAATCCCCGAGAGGATGTCTCGCTGGCCAAATTATCCGAATTGACCCTACAGATTCGGAAGAAAATGGAGGGTCACACGGAGGCGGATAGAAAGTAGCTGCTTCTTTTTCTTACTCGTTGTTTACTGATGGCTGGATTGCTGACCGCGCTCTCAGGAACCGCAAATGGCTATCATATTTGCTTCCTCCCCCCGAGGAGGAAGAGAGGCTGCTAGAGGAGTCCGGAGTCCTGGGGGTCACGGAACCGTCGACCGCCCAAACGGCGACTACGCTTCGGCATCTCTTGGATGAGACGGCCGACCTGATCGAATCGCCCAACTTCACTCGCGTCTTGATGCACCTCAACAACGAGGGCTTTGAGACTCTGATCCAGCAGTGTACGGCCGACGCATTCAAGGCGCCGCCCAACCAGCCCGAAATGGCACCGCAGTCGTTCACCTCGGTTGCCACGGTGGTTCCTGTGACCGGCAGCTCGGAGACCAAGACGAAGCTGGCCAACGTGCTGGCCGTGATGGCCCGACAGGCACATGTGATTGGCAATGGCACAACGCCTCCGAATCTCTATCTGGCCACCATGGAGCAGAATGTTCGCGAGTTGGAAGCGTTCGCGGCCGTGATCTACAGCTCGAACTTTGATTTCGAATTGCTTGGACCCGAGTCCAAAACCAGTCCTTTGGAGAAGGAGGCCAGTGGCTCTGACACAGTCTTCGTCGACAAGGGTGATGCCAGTCCGATCGCCGGAGTTGAAGTCTTGGAAGAGTCATCAACCGTCCAAGTTGGCGAAGATTCGACGTTCGAGACGGCGTGGGGGAAAGCCTCGAGTAGACCAGCCTCCTCGGCTAGTTGATATAGCTAGAGAGGGGTGCCTCCTTCCTCGTACAAAGCGCGATTGTTTATTTTTCGGGCTCAAGTTCCGAATTTCTATTCTTTGGAATTTTTTTTTTTTTTTTTTTTGTTATAGTCTGGTTTCAAGGGTCTGCATATTATCGGTGTTCTGCCACTGAAGAGGCCAGGGAAAGGAAGTAGATGAGTGTATGATAAGCCAAATAAATTCCCCTACATATCACGACGCGAACGAGCTTATCGCCGGCGCAAAGGAGAGCACAAATTACGAAAGTCCGTTCATAATAATGACTTATAAGAGCAATGTAACCTCGGACTTAGGGGCCTCGGCACTGGCGACGGGGAGCTCCACCGAAGAGCCGAACTCGGTGCTGGCGGTGGGTCCGGACCGTAGATTTCTGATTCATCTTTTCTACGAAGTACTACTAGTACGTAGGGCAGGTGCTGACCCATGATAAGCATATGTACACCGTGCTGCAAGACCAACTTCCTCGAGGTGATGAACCGGGTGTCCTGGTCGCGGAATAAAAAGTAGTATCCGCTGAGTTCCGGAGAGATCTAGTTATAAGAAAGCCATTGCCAAGCAGGGGGGTTACCATTTTCGGTAAGCCCAGCCCGGGCAGGTGACCTGCGATCTGCGGGGGCTTATGTCAGCAGCCCGTCAATCTGCGGGGAAGCCGAAAGGGGAAGCCACGATTCTCGGGGCTTGGGCATCAATAATGATCGCAGGGAAGATATAGAACTGTACAAGACTCCAGATGATACCAGACCAATTCTGTATGAAACACAGCAAAGAAAGAAAAAATCAGTCTGATGCATGTTCTCCCTCAGACTATCGCCGCATTCACCCACTCATTAGACTTCCGATCGACACGCTGAAGCCCCCGAAGGCCCAATCCAGGCCGAGATCGGGGCCACCGGAACCTCCGCCGGGTGCTTGACTCTACTTTGCGTCGCTTCGATCCGTGGACCCCGACTTGTCCTTCATCCTTCTCATTGGGTTTTGCGCTCTTGGGTTTAGCTTCGGCCCAGTGGCTCCCCCGATAATCATGGCTGCGACGATGACTGTAGTCATGCCTATTGACCAGGCAAGCTATTGGTGATCTTCACCTGGTGGAGTCTTTTTATGGCTGATTCTTCGGCTGTCTCTCTGACTCTTCCCCTCTCGTCAGGGCTATATATTTGTTTTTTGTAGCGCCATTGGGGGTTTCTTTTTTTTTTTTTTTTTTTTTTTTTTCTTCTCCTTTCTTCGTTCTATTGATTTGTCGTTTTTTACGCGTGACGTATCACTGCGCGCGGCTGAAAAATTTCCTTCTTGCCCAACTCCTTGCTCCGTTTTCTAATTTTATATTCTTTATCCCTCTTGTCATCCAGAGTCTACGCGAAGAAAACTTGCGCCCAGAATGGGGACTTCAGGTTCGTTCAAACACAATGGAGGTGATAAAACAGTCGCGATGCTAATTAGCGGAATTGCGCAACTAGACAAGATGGGGTTTACAGACGACAAGGAGGGCGAGGTGCAGACGCAATCGCCCGAACTCCCACCTCTGACCAACACCACGGAGCGCCGACTCATGGCCAAGATCGACTGGCACGTCATCCCCTGCTTGTGCGTGATGTACCTGCTTGCCTTCCTGGACCGGTACGTACCTTGCGCGCATCCCCAATCGCGATATGCAGAGCAATCGACCTAACGCTGTCATCAATAGAGTGAACATCAGTAATGCGGCGGTCCTTGGGTTGAAAGAGGACCTGAACATCGTCGAGGGAATGAAATATAACACGGCATTGACCATTTTCTTCGTCCCATACGTCATCTTCGAGATCCCATCCAACATCCTGCTGAAGAAGTGGAAACCCCATGTCTGGTGTACGTTTATGAGATACTCTTGAAAGGCAATCGCGTGGGCTAATGACCGTTCTAAGTGTCAATGTGTATGTTCTTTTTCGGCCTAGTGATGATCTGCCAGGGCTTGGTGTCCAACTGGGGAGGTCTGATGACGACCCGTTGGTTCCTCGGTATGCGACAATCGTATTCTGTCCCATTGCGATGTACCGGCTAATCTGTTTTCTAGGAATGTTCGAGACGGGTCTGTTCCCTGGATGTACGTGTTGACCCTATTCTACTCCGCGATCGATCGATCGAATAATAACCGACAACTATATACAGGCTTCTACCTACTGGGAATGTGGTACAAGCGCAGCGAGGCGCAAAAGCGATTCAGTTTCTTCTTCAGCTCCACGACCCTCGCCGGCGCGTTCGGTGGCTTGCTGGCCAGTGGACTGGGTAAAATGGAAGGAATCGGGGGGTACAATGGCTGGCGGTGGGTTTTCATCATCGAAGGCCTGCTCACCTGCGTTGTATCCTTCGTCTGGTTCTTCATCATCCCCGACTTTCCCGAGGATGTCAAATGGCTTACCGAGGAGGAGAGAGAGTTCATCCGGGTGAAACTGGCGCAGGACACCGGAGGTGCTGCGGCTGATGCCAAGATTGGCTGGCGCGAGGTTCTGGATACCTTCAAGGACTGTGAGTGATTCACCAAATCGGCAAGTCATTGTCAGTTTGAGTTCTGACAGGACATGCAGACAAAATCTTAATTGGCGGTCTTATGTATTTCGGTCAAGTTGTCACGGCATACGGTCGGTTTTCCTGTTCCTGCGGACATGGCCAGATCTCGATGTTAACAAACCGCAGGATACGCCTATTTCGCGCCGACTATCATCAAGACCTACGGCTACGATGGTATGTGGATCCCTGCGCCGATTGTCTTGCGCCGACTAATCCCGCTCCCTTAGCTATCATGACCCAGTTGTACTCGATTCCCCCGTGGGCGGCCGCATGGGGCTTTTCCATGGTGGTTGCGGTCTTGTCGGACAGAACCGGACATCGCTTTGCGTTTACTATAGGACCCATGTTGATAGCCATGGCCGGATTTGGGATCTTGTTGAATGTGCACGGAGAAGAGAATCGGGGAGTCCAGTACGGCGCCTTGTTCCTAGTCACAAGCGGCTGCTACAGTGCGATGCCGGTGATAGTATGCTGGTTCGCCATGAACCTGGGCGGCCATCGCCGACGAAGCATCGGAACTGCATGGCAAGTGGGTTTTGGAAACAGTGAGTGATGCTTCTCATGACCTGTCCGTCATACAAGTTACTAACGAGAACCACAGTCGGCGGCATCATTTCGACATTTGCATTCCTCCAGAAGGATGCGCCAGAGTATAGACCGGGCTTCATCATCAGTGTATCCTTCCTCTGCTTTTCGGCCGCCTGCTGCATCGCCTACCTCGCAGCGGTCTGGTATGACAACCACCGACGCGACCAGGCGGCGGCCAACGGCACTGTACCGGAGTACAGTCAGGAGGAGCGAGATCTCCTGGGCGACATGGCGCCCAACTATCGGTATGCATACTGAGGAGGTTCCACAGAGAGTACCAATTTCCTATTTTCTATAATGACCACACAGAAGAAAGGTGCAGAATTAGGGCAGATGATTATGCGACGATGAATGATAGTAGTTATAGATCGAGTGTGGATTCTGGGCGATACACAATGAACAAATTAATAAAAATTTACCAAATTGATAGTCCGTTGTCGATGCTGGACCAGGACCCTCTCTGGCTCCATCCTACCAATAATACGATGAATGTGGCGTCCAAGACAGAGGACGATGACGGAGGGTTTGCAACTTCACCGTTCGGTGTGCAGAAGAGCAGCAGTCACGGGATGGAGTGATGACATAACTCCCCATCGCTCGGTAAGGCCGCCGGACGGGCCAATCACCGTCGTCACAGCACTAGCGAGCCCTTAGCGGCAGGCGATGCTGAGTCAGCTGCGACGCACACAAGAAGCTCCGCCGGCGCGCTTCCTCCGTCTTTCTTTCAACCATCTCCCTCATCCTCGCAGAAGTGTGAGTTCCCCTCGCCGGCCATACGGCTTCGCAGGCATTACGCCTTGCCTTTGCTAAACCACTGACTCCTTCACAGTTTCGAACCATCTACGAAGATGAGAGCTAAGTGGAGAAAGAAGCGCGTTCGCCGCCTCAAGCGTAAGAGAAGAAAGATGAGGGCTAGATCGTGAGTCGTCCCCGAATCCGACTGGACTACGTTCCCAAGAAGCAATTGTGCTAACAATATATCCCAGGAAATAAATGACTCGCCCCGCTTCATCTCAGCTTTCCATGCCGGAGCTCTAGTTGAACGCTAAATATGACAACTCGACGACGTCACAATTATGATTCTTCTGTTCGTTTCGTTGTTCGGTCACTCCAACTACCCCTGCCTGGCCTATTTTCTGCCCTCCCAATCGAATTCGGGGCCTTTCCGTCCAACAAAAACATCCTTTCTATCCAATCCCGTTGGCTCATTTAAAACGTTTTCGATTTGATTCTCAGACCAGGCGGTTGGATGCAATGGTGCTTCGGTATTCTATTGTATCTTTGTCACGGAGGACGCACGTGTTTGGTGGGGTTGGAGGGGTCGTGGACGAAGTTTCCTACAAACATCACTCTGTACTATCTGATTGTTTATCCACCGATCCTTTGAGTTTCGCATGGGGGCTGGTCAATTGCTTTCGCCTGGGTCTGGACGTGGAGCTCCTATTGCAGGGATTCGCATGCAGGTCCAGTGCTATGAAGAGGTTTACGAGCATTTATCACAATATGAAAAGTTCCTAACGATTCACTGAGTGTCCACATTGTAAAAAGTAGCTGTGTAAAAAGATCTACCAACAGACAGGACTTAGCATGTCGTTAGAGCTCTGTCATGCGACGAGTTGCTGGTTTGACCTGTTCTGTGCGTTTTGCGCCTCTCCGCCCTGTAGGCGGTGAAGTATTTCTGCCGCGCATCAATTTTTTTTGCGTCCGACTTTTCTGCTCCGCCATTTGATGCTTCTCCGCACCCAATTCTCTCCTCCCCTGCGCCAAACACCATGCCCTCCGACAAAGTGGAAAAGAAGCGCAAGCGCGCCTCGGATCTTAATGAGCGACCCAGCAAGAAGCCCGCTCTCGGGCTGCATGACCTGCCTCCACTCGCCGCCAGCGTCGTGAACGACGACAGCGAGCTGGCTCCCGTCCTCAGTATGCGCTTCTTCTTGCATAAACGACGGCGGAGCCATTGTTAGGCTAACGTTTTCTTCGACAGTCACTACCCCCGGTGTCAATGCTCCCCGAAACATCAGCCTCAAGCCCTACCTCAAAAGCCGCCCCGATGGCTCCGGCAACTCGACCCGCAACAAGGGCATTACGTCGAGCGAACTGCTGCTGCAGACCTCCGAACACCCGAAGATGGACTTCGTGGGCCGCGAGGGCAACGAGGACGCCGATTCACAGGTCAAGCACTACGTCGCGGTGATTGATCCCCAAAAGCAGACCTGGCAGTTCATCGAGGCCCGCAAGGTGACTCTGCGCGGTGCCGTGCGGTCGACGAAACCTGTGGCCGAGGAAGAGGAGGAGAGCGAGGATGAAGATATGGTGAGTTTTGTCTTATGTCTTTATTATACCCTGCCCGTTGTTCATCTTTCCGGTGAAGCGGATGGGACAACCCAGGGAATCTTAGTTGGCTGACTCCGAATTCTGTGTAGAAAACCATGCGTGCCCAGCGCACCGAACTCACCAACACCTTCGGTACCAAACAATCCCGCAAGGCCGCGCAGTCCCTGTCCGAAAACGCCCAGTTGTCCAACGTCCCCGCCGGCGCTTCCTCCGCCGCGGAGTCCGCCATGCTCGCCGCCATGCCGGCCGAATCCGCCGCCGACCTCGCCTCGAAGACGGCCGCCGTGCAGGCCCAGATCCAGGCCGCCAAGCCTTTGCCCCAGGCCAACCTGGACGCCTCGCACCCTTCGGACGTGTATCCCATCGAGAACCTCGTCCCAGGCGGCATGGCCACCCTGCGCCAACTGCCCAGCGTCAAGGAGTGGCAGGACACAGTGGCCGCGGGACTCAGCGTGGTCACGACCTCTCGGTACGTGTCGCGCCGTCTCGACGCCGTCGTCGCCTCCGGAAATGTCGCCCAGATCCAGGTCCTGCGCTTCATCTTCCTCCTGCTGGAATTCGCCCGCTCGCTGCGCTCCGGCCGCGACCCCAAGGGTTCCGGCGGCCCGGGAGGCAAACGACTCCCTTCGCGAGAAGATCTCCGCCGCATCCTCTCCTCCTCGACCGGTGCCTCCTCCAACGACCCTTCCAAATCCTCCTCCACATCCTCCGGCGAAACCATCCCCGACTCAATCATCGACGCCGTCCGCCGCAAATTCGCCCCGCAAGGCTCTTCTCTCTCCAAAAACGACCTCACCCTACTCCACACCACCATCTGCGCCTTGTCCCTGCACATCCCCCCTCAACCCGCGAAAGACGGCGGCTCCAGCTCGCAGGGCGGCAACTCTCCCAACGAACTGGCCACCGACCCGTCCGATCTGCGCGACGACCTCCGTGTCGACAGTCCCACGATCATGCAGTATTTCCGTGAGTTAGGATGTCGGGTTGATAAGCCGCGCGAGACCGAGTTCGCGAAGTGGAATATCAAGGGTGGGAAGGCCGAGGCGGCGGCGAGACGTGTTGCGAGACTGAAGGTGCCTGTCGAGTTTCCGAGGGTGTCGAGAGGTGGTGGCAGGAGGTAGTTTTCCTTTCTTAGGTTTTCTCTCTTAAGTGGGATGTGAAGAATGAATGAATTGAGGAAATAGACAGCCCAAAAAGTGAGAGTTGTGTATGTAAAAAAAAAAAAAAAGATTTCATGATTTGTTAGTTTGCTTTCGCCTTGTTTTTTAATGTTTATAATCCTGCCATTTAGGCGTTGGGAGAATCCCTCTTTGTTTTGTTGTCTTTTGATTCTTAGCATATATTAAGTTTCATATATTCTGTGACATACGTTGAGTGAAATAAGTTGAGTTACATATTGTAGCATGTTCGGGTATAGAAATAAGTATAATGTTGACAATCGTTCGGACTTCTAACTAGACCAAAATGCCAGCTGACTGATGGTTCAGCCCTTGTAGTACTTGATATATCAACACATATCTTGATCGCTGGCTGGGATATATGTATGTAACCTATCGTCTTGTGAATACCTAGAATGTAGCGAGTTGATTATATCGAATCACACTCACCATATATACATCGCATCAACTATGGTTGTAGTGAGATATGTCTATAGAATCAAAGATACGGGCTCTACAAGAATGCAAGGACTACGAGAGCAGGAAAGAACAAAATTGAGGATGTGATCAGACAAGTTCATGTCGATCGAAGTTCATAGAACTTTCATTTGATAAGTTGATATGTTAAGAGAACCCAATACGCGGTAAGGACAGGCCGATTCTTAGGAAAAGATGTACGAGCCCCCCATTGGACAGAAAAAAAAATCCGTTGAAGGATGAGGGTAGATAAGCAAGATCGCCGAAATAAAAACCCATTAGGCCACCACTCCAACAGGGATGGAAGTAGGAGCCTTCAGAGGGCTGCTGGCGGACTTGGTGGTCTGCATATGAGGAGCCAGCAACCGGGCTGCTTCCTCGCGGAATTCACGGTTGACCGCCGTCTCGATGGTCTCGTTGGCCTGGAGTCCCAGCTGCGAGTCCTCCCAGATGGGCTGGTTGGCGGCCTCGGCGCCTTCGACACCCACGCCGACGAATCCGCCCTGTGCCTCCCAGTCGCTGGCCCGTTTGATGTTCAGGTCCTTCCAGACGGCCTGCACAGCCTGCACTAAGTGGTCGCGATGCTCCTTGACGTGACCCGGGGTGGGAGTGATGCGGAGTCGTTCCTCGCCGCGGGGCACAGTCGGGTAGTTGATGGCCTGGACGTAAATGCCGTGCTCCTCGAGCAGCTTGTCGGACGCCTGCTTGGCCACCTCGGCGTCACCGACGAGGAGGGGCACGATGTGCGAGGGGTTGGGGATCACGGGGATGTCCAACTCCTGAAGAGACGCCTTGACGGCGCGGGTGTGCAACTGCTGCAGCACGCGGTCCCGCTTGTGCTCGGACTGGTACTGGATGGCGGTGTCGGCACCGGCCATAGTGGCGGGCGGCAGCGACGTGGTGAAGATGAAACCCGGAGCGAGAGAGCGGATGGTGTCGACCATGGCCGCGGACCCTGCGATGTAGCCGCCGACGCAGCCGTACGCCTTGCCCAGTGTGCCGGTGATGATGTCGATGCGGTCCATCACGCTGCCCTTGGTGCTGCGGGGGTTGGCGGTATCCTGGGAGGCGTAGACGTCGTAGTCGAGGTGCTCGGCAACGCCCGCGCCATGGGGGCCGTACATACCCACGGCGTGGACCTCGTCCAAGAAGGTGATGGCACCGTACTTGTCTGCCAGGTCACAGATCTGCTCAATGGGGGCGATCGATCCGCACATGCTGTAGACGGATTCGAAAGCGATGATCTTGGGGACGTTCAGGGGAAGCGAGGCCAGCTTCGTTTCCAGGTCGACCAGATCGTTGTGCTTGAAAACCATCTTCTTCGCGCCCGAGTGGCGAATGCCCTGGATCATGGACGCATGGTTGAGACTGTCGGACAGGATCACGCAGTCCGGCATCTTACTGCCTAGAGTGGCGAGGGTGGCATCATTGGCGACGAAGCAGGAACTGAAGACCAAAGCGGATTCCTTGTCGTGCAATTTGGCCAGGGTGCGCTCCAATCCCACGGCGTGCTGGTTGTGTCCGGAGATGTTACGAGTGCCTCCAGCTCCCGCCCCGTAGGTATCGAGAGTCTTGTGCATCGAGTTCAGCACCTCGGGGTTGCGTCCCATGCCGAGGTAGTCATTGGAGCACCAGACAGTCACGCGCTCTTCCTGCGAGGCCGTGTGGGCCCGGGGGAACTCCTGCGCCAGGCGATTGATGTTGTTGAAGTAACGGTACGACTTGTCCTTGTGTTTCTTGTCCAATTCGGTGCGATAGAAGGAATTGTAATCAAAAGGTGTGGTCGCGGGTGCATCGGGGCGAGGTCCGGAGACCGCCGCGGGGGCAAAGCCGGGGCGGCGTTCGGCTCGAGACAAGTTGGGATGGCCTGCAAGCATTTCATTCCAATTAGTACGCGAGATCCCACCGTAAAAGCCACAGATCCAGAGTACCCACCTCTCTGAGAATCTTTGAAGACGTCGGGGCTCAGATTGGCGCCATTGCCGCTGGTCGAGTGCAAGTCCCGTCGGGGAGCCGTGGGCCGGAGATACTTGTGGTTGGCGGTCACGCCGGCAGCCGAGGAGGTGAATCGCTTAGTACCGGCCAGGCGAGCACTCTGGACGGCCAGAGCCTTGCTCATGACGGGGCATCGACGGGCCAGGACCTGGAGGTTGGACATAGTACCACCGCCGGGGCTGGTGCTGGGGCGCGTGGCGGTGGACAGAGAACGCAAGGTGACGGCGGAAGTCCGCTTGAGAAAAGGGCACATGGCCCGAGATTGCTGGAGGAGCGACTCCATGACAAGCAGACGAATGCGTAGGACCAAGAGGAGAATGCCACGAGCAGGAGGTGTGATGAGGTTCAAAGAGGGGAAGAAGGGAGAATGGGGAAAAGAAAAGGAAGAAAGGAAAAAAAGTGGCTCTCGGTCATGCCAGACTGAGATGGACCGGCTGACTCAACAGCGGCGACTTCGGCTGACGTTCGGCCCCGCCTTGATTGGCCCGTCGCCGCCGGGGACTGTGACCATCCCGATACCATTCTTACCATTCTTTACCAGTCACCGTCCCCGCTCACCTCAGCAGTCCGGCCGAAAGAACGGCTCCTTCCCAGCCTGGCTGGGAACCGTAACTTTCCGTCTCGGTCTGACCGGCTCACTTGCCGCGGCTGGACCCCCGCTTGCTTACTTCAGCGAATGTGGGGGCTGGCTAACCGGACAGCCCGTATTAGTATTACAGAATTCTACTACACTGCCCTTTCAACTTCTAACTATCCTAACTACCCTAATAATTAATAAAGTAAAGAGGTAGACCCTAATACAAATAACCCGAAATCCCTAATTCCTAATATAACCTTAAGTAATCCCTAAAGAACCCTAAGTAGTCCCAAAATCCCTAATAAAATTGAAGATACAGCAAAGATTCAACTATAGAAAGATAGTATTTCAAAAACAGTTACTCTGAATTCTGATAATAAACTAGACCGCCTACTGAACTAGGTAATGGCTGTCCGATTAGCCAGCCCCCGAATGTGATCGCGGATCAAATTCCCCTTTCAGGATGGAAGTCAATATAAATGGATTGTTGCATGTTGATACAGGCAGGAGAGACGATGAACATCCCCCCTTGATGAATAATTAAAGAGGAAGAACATAGGTAGACAAGAAGATAGTAGAACACAAAAAAAAAAAAAAAAGAAAGAAAGAGAGAGAGAGAAAGTCAAATCACAACGGCAACAAACAAGAAAAAAAAAAAACAAACAAAAAAAACGCCCCAACCATCGTCTTTTTGGTACATCATCTATGCGAATGTATGTTAACTGGGTCCCAACCCGCCATCACCATCGATCAGACGTAATCGTTCCTTCATAGTTTTGGCTCGTTTCGACGTGCCTTTGCCATTTCCGCGTCCACGTCCACGCCCACTCTTGGGTACTGGCGTCGACGACGGCGTGCCCACGTTCTCCGCCGTTGACACGGGCGTGGCCGCCTCGGACGGCTTTCCACTGGCATTCGCGCTGGCATCGTCAAAGTTGCCTTCGCCTGTAGGAGAATCATGAACGGTTAGCGTCATCCATATGAGGGGGAGTTTTGTCAAGGAGGTGGTGGGGGAGGGGAAGAGAGAAACCACGAACCTTCATGGTACATATCATCCAGCGTAATGTCACGCTTCCTCTTTTGCGCCGCCTTCTTTCCACCCTTACTGGACCCAAACACCTCGCCGCGATCCGCGGCCTCCTTCTCCTTCTGCTCGATCAGCTCCGCCTGTTCGTCGTCGGCGAGCCACAAGGCAATATCCTTGGTGCGGCTCTCCCGGTTGCGCGTGTTGAAGTCAACTCCGCCGGCACCACCACCCGAGATGACCACCCGCTGCACTTCTTCCTTCTGCAGTGCGCGTTTCCGGATGCGCTCCTCGATCGTTCCGCGCGTGATCAGGCGGTACACCGTCACCTGTCGGGTCTGGCCGAGACGATGCGCCCGATCCATCGCCTGCGAGTCAATCGTAGGGTTCCAGTCCGAGTCGTAGAAGATGACCGTGTCGGCGGCCGTCAAGTTGATACCTAGACCACCCGCACGCGTGGACAAAAGGAAGACGAAGATCTCCGGTCGTTGCTGGAAGTCGGCCACTGTGTCGCGACGATCCTCTAGCTTGGTGCTTCCGTCCAGACGGCAGTACTTGTAGTTGCGGTACGTCAGGTACTCCTCCATCAGATCGATCATCCGGGTCATCTGGAAATAGAGCAGGACCCGGTGACCACCCGCCTTCAGCTCGCGCAGCAGCTCGTCCAACTTGGCCAGCTTGCCCGAGTCCGTGACAAACCGCCGCATAGAAGGCACTTCGATGTGAGTGTACCGTCCCTTGGCCGAAATCGGGTCCGGCAGCATGGGGGCGTGTGAGTAGGGAGCCGGGTCGACCTTCTGCTCCACGATCTGCAGATCCAACTGCCTCGACGGAGCCGGGAGCAGAGCATGGCGTACGGGCACGTTAAAGAAACTATCCCTCGTTTCCAGT